TCACCCTGTATTTCGTTTGTTGTTATTATAACTTTTATTATTTAGTTCTTATTGTACTTATTGGCTCGGTAAGGGAAGGACTGAGGATGGCAGAAGCCCTGTCACGGGGTGAGTGGAATTGCGGCTCTCCATGCAATTCGCTCTTCGCGAAACAGATTGCGTCAGTCGTTGCAATAGCATCATTGACCGTAAGTGCAATTCTAAGGGGCGTAGCAAGGATTACGTAAGCTCTGCCAGGCGTAATCCGTTGCCGAAAAGGTGCGCAGTCCTTAAATAGCGGTCGCCCCCCCTACCTTCAACCATGGTAGGGGAACAGCCAATGAGCGCGTTAGAGTGGTCCGTTGGAAGCACCTCACTTCGTAGCAGAGTCCGCGGTACCAATACCAAGGCTATTTATGCTACAAGAGGATCATTAGGAACATATGCCTGAAATTTCACAGCAATTGATTCAATAGTTTCGAAACTACTTTTTTATTCCTTACATTTTTTAAATCGTATTTATTGTTTTAAAGAAATTGTGAGCAGGAAGTTTTCTGTATACAGGCGTCCAGATAAAACTTCGCGGCCTAGTATCTTGAGAATGAATAGAGATACTAAAATTCTGTAAACGCTATTGTTTTTAGCTTGAAGGAGGAAGCTTACTTTCGTAAATTGTAAATTACAAATATGTTGTTGTAAACTGCAACGTGTATATGTATTGCTACGAAATAAACATATATGCCTAATATGTTGTATGACTCATCGGCCGTGCGGCGCTGGGTTCGCTAAAGGAAAGCCTGGAAGCGGATGTCGCGACATGCCCAGAAAACCCTCAAAGCGGCGTTCTCGATCCATCGAGAGAAACGTATAGGTTTAAATAGAGGCCACCTTCGAGAATGAGGATTATTATTCAATTAATTCAGTCCAGAGAGTACAGCCAAGTTGCGCCGGAATTATTTTGTACATAATCGCTCTGTAATAAGTCGTGTAAATTTGCTAAGTTTAACTTTTCCTATAGTCTTTTATAAGCAAGCAATAGCATTCCAATTTCCATCTCAGAGCCAATAAAATGAGTAATCAAAGCGGAATAAGGGTGGGTGGACATAGACACTTTTGACTCAGAAGAAAGAAGGGTCAGTCTTTTCTTAACAAATACTAGCCGCTTATGCGTCATTAAGCCTCCTCTTTCATGTTAAAAACAATGGCGTTTTTCAGAATTTCAGTATCTGTATTCGTTCTCAAGATATATGGCCTCGGAGTTTATCCAGGACACTTGGATATCTTGGATATCACAGATTTTGTTATGGTTTTGGAAATTTTATTCTACCCTATAAAATTTTTTGACGATAACAAAACGGACAGTAGTACAATGGTAAGAAATATTTATGGCTCACACCAGTTCACTCGAATTTGTGTGAGAACATTTAGCAGGTAGTTGTACTCATAAAATAATGGCCATTTTCGTTCATGAGTAACGATGGTCCCTGTCCGGACTTGGATTATTCTGCTTTCTAACATCTGGGGATTACCGGCACGCGACAACTTAAGTTGTACTACTGTCCGTCTCGTTATTGCCAATAAAATTTTATAGGGTAGAATGAAATTTCCAAAACTATACCTTCTTTCATACATATAATACACAGTATTTTTATAAGCATGAGAACAATGTAGCACCAATTATAAAGTAACAAGGTTTCTGGACTTGTAGAAAAATTAAATGAAAATTGATAAAAAAATCGATTTTGAAATTTCCAAAATTTTTGATGGTGTTTTAGATTAATTACAAAATATGATTGTGCAAATATAAATTTCGTAACATAATCTGTAGATATTAAGCTAAAAATAAGAATGAAACTCACTTAACAAAATACTTAAATGAAGTCACCAGTTTTTGGAGGGGACGACGTGACAAATTTTGGCTGGCGTTTTACCAGCCTCACACACAATTAAATTAATTAAATAATAAATTTAAAATTATGTAATCGATTGAGTAATCCTAGACATTATTTAAAAATATAAACAATCGGAAAGTTAAAAGGTGCAGTTAATAAATGAAAAATTTTGATTTAAAAAAAAAACTCACAACTTTTATAGCAGCAAAGTAATTATAGTCAAAATTATGTAAGTTTAAATTTAAACACGAAATTTGACAACCGTGCACCGAAATTTCTACGGAGATGAAATACTGATTTAATATTCAAATTATTTATAGATACAATATTCTGCTCATTTGAACTACGTAGGTACATATTTTTTATGAATTAATAAGTTAATTTTAATTTGCGTCGGCTGTTTCGAAAAATATTTATACTTAACTGATGTGTCAAGGTGCACGAATAGAACAAAATCTCACTAACGATAAGAAGTACTGTAAAATTCTTTAAATGCTAACCGTAATTTTAACTTCTTAATAAATAATGAATCACAATATGGAGAATGTATTTGTATATTATATACTGAATTACTAACAGCAATGAATAATTCCAATTTGTAATGCTTGAATATTTGGCATTAATATGTTCCTGGGAAACTGTAGAACTGTTTTGCCAAAGAGTTTTTTTTTTCTGAAATCCCATCCTTGATATCAGTTCATTGCCAGGAGCTTTGAAGTGTAATTAAAATTATAATTCCACCTTTTGTTTGAAGAGTATTCACCTTGGAAAAAGCGATATTTTAAATAGTCGAAGTCAAACAAAAGCTACTTTATTAAATCCTTTGAAAATGCGTTTTTTCTACATCAACCAAACAATCGAGAAAATATACTTTTACGCAAGATAAAAAATCGCGATTGTCGTTCCATTTTTAACTTTTTTAAAAATCAAGGTGATCTATTAAATGACCCCCGACTTGTCGACAAATGAGAAACAAAATAAATGAGCTAGATAATATTCGTTTATATTTACGCATACTTGTATGTCCGTCTCCCAAAAATACGATGTTTGGGTTGGACCAACTAACTCTTACAAAATAACTATTGTTAAAATCGTGATGAATTATCGAAAATTGCAGCCGTCTCCGCTCCACCGCTCATTTATAATCGTGCCCACGCATATTTGCCCAAAATTCTCGTCTAAAAATAATTATTGTAACCTTAACACCGACCGAAGAAACGCTATCAACAAAAAAAAAGAAAAAATATTCAAGCAAAACATCGCAACGCCGCATGACTTGTGCGGAACTTGCTATGTTTTTATCCCAGTGACGTCTATAGACGTTAAATATAACTAAGTTGGATGAGGTTTTCAGGTACCTAGAAAATAAAAGTACTTGCGAAAGAATTTCTTTTGTTTCTTTGTTGTTTATTGGGTGTTGGGTGGTTATTTTAGGATGGTATTGGGAGGTGACGTTTTTATGGACAATTACTTGACAAACAAAGGCACTAAAAATGATGTATTTTTGTTGGCTCCGAGTTCGGGTAATTATAATCAAAATAAATTATTATTCGCGAGAAATTCGTAACAACACTTAAATGATACTGTGTGGTTGTGGTGTCATGAAGCTACTAGAATAGAGATGGCGCTGCACGTGCATTCTCTGTGTCTATACATTGATTAAATACATATGTATTTAATCAATGGTCTATAGCTCGCTTATTTACATAAACTGACGTTTCATTATTTCAAATTTTGGTAAGCCTTTGTACATTTGCTTTCTACCCTAGAACACATTATGAAAATAATTTAATTGTTGTGTTCTAAGTTACATATTTTTAAATTATAGTTTTTCTAATAGGAGATGATCTAGCACACTTGAGTCTTTTTGGTAGATCTACTAATTTTGTTTTTAGAAATTTGGGACGACCTAGACATACTTTAGAATATTGTGATTATTGAAATTAATTTTAATTAGACGAATTTTATGAATGATTTTAAAACTTAGAATGGGACTGGAAAGTGATTACACTGGGGAAGAAGAGATGATTTAGAGATGTAATGAGTTTGAAACTGGAGAGAGAAAGGAATAAACAGGAAAAGTTGGCAAACAATTGCGGAAGTTATGGCCCAACATGGCCTGTAATGAGTATACATAGTGATCTTATGAACACGTTCTACTTTTCCTAATGGGGATGCCCGAAATTAGTTGCACGTAATTAGACGATTACAAAAATAAATATATAATATTTTAATTAAATTGTTGTTCAACTGATGTCATAACTGGAAGGTAAAAAGTCTTTACGGGTGTAAACAGCAATGATCTAAGTATCATCTGAAACTTCAATATAAGTTTTCTTGTAGAAATTTTATATCATGTAGACCACTTATTAAAGAAAAAATAAATCTGCAGATCATCAGTACACCGCAGCCCCTGACATGTGAGTGACCTCAGTAGGTCATCAATCAACCAAGAAAAAAGTCGAGATCCAAGGTTTGAGCTTTGAGGCACACCGGATGTTGAACGTACTGTTTAGATTCGTAGCTATTATAAAATACAAAGTTCATTCTCCCAGCTAAATAGAGGAGGTTTATTTAAAAGAAGTTTATGATCTACACGATCAAAGAAGCTTGAGACGTCGGTATAGATTATATCTACTTGTCCATTTTTATCCAACTCTTCTAAAACAAATAAGAGAACGATTAGTTGAGAAAAAAGTTTCCGAAATAATATTAATACTAAACTACCTAATTAACTTGAAGTGTTCAGAGATATGACGACGTGGGTGACAATAAATAAACGTTACAATGGATATGTAGTAAATGTCACTAGCATTACAAAACTCGAACTTCATGATAATAAAATTCAACAGGTGATCATTTTTGTGCCAAGTTTTGTAATAATAAAGCACGTATACTTATCACATTTGGTCGACATACGTTCCACAAACGAAAAGTTGGATTGATTGTCCTAATTACCCCAGCTTATCTAAACCCAAGGCCGCTCTATTCTAGAACCATCTATTTTGATCTTCTCGCCACTTTATTATTTAGATTTTCTTGATGGAGTTTATTTCCAGCTTCCCCTTCTCCCGGCGCATCAGCTGGATTTTCCAATATCTCTTATTGCTTTCTCAACTGCATGCATCCGCAAATACCCTCACTCGTCCGCCAGACCTCTTCAGATAACCCAACCCATTCAAAAGGCCGTCATGTTTTCAAGAAAACGCCGCGTCAAGTGGCCGATCTAATTTTAAACCCCGTGTGCGTAAAACAAACTGAATCTGTCAGTTGCGACCAAGTGATCGCCAGTGAATCGCAAAACCACCCAATGCCCATCCGGAGCGATGTTCAGCTTCTTTAGGCGGTCCAAGAAGGACAAAGAGCGCGCGACGCCAGAAATGTGTAAAAATACGAGCGACGCCGTCGCTCCGACGCCGCCGGAACCCGAAATTGTTTCGAATGCAGTGTCCAGTGAAGTGACAGCCGACGAAAAAAACGAACCGAACGACAGCATGTGCGAGAGAGCGTGCCCCAGTGCCCCCATCGGGACCATTTCTTACGCGGCCGTGCTGAAGCAGCCGGAGGCGCGCGGGGGCAGCGTCAAGCCGTGCGGCCACGGCACCACGGGCGTCGCGCCCCGGCCCCCGGTGCGCTACACCAGGAGCAGCACGGGCACGCCCCCCTCGAGCCCCAAGCTGGACCTGAAGAAGGTGGCCCGAAACGCGGAGAGGCAAATCGCCAGCGAGCCTCCGAGTCCCAAGGGGGAGAAGATGGCGAAGCTGCTGAGGCAGAACTCGGGCGAGCAAAAGCAGAAGGAGGCGCTGACTCAGAAAGGGAAGAAGACCGCGAAGAACTTGGAGAGGCAAAGCTCGAAAGAAGAGGCTTCGAGTGACCACCCCTCCGGGTTGAGGCTAGGCGCCGCCGACACGCTGGTGGAGAGCATTTCCAACGCTGCTCCTCTGGTGAATGGAATCGACGACGAAAAGTATGTTTACGTGATTGTGGTTTTAGAGTTTGGAGCGGACTATTTTGAGGGTTTTTGACGTAGAACCTGATTCACGCGCCCACGGGGATCTAAATTTAGAGCGTGTGAAGATAACAGGTTTTTTGCATCCGGATTGCAGTTAGATTTGATGATGGCGTATACGTAAACATGTCATATTACGTCAAAAATGGATAGTAAAACCGTTTATTGGGTTATTTCTGGAAAAGCGGGGTCGAAACGGATTATTTACAAGCTGGGATTTGGCTGACGGGAATGTTGGTGTAAAATCAACAGTGGCTAATTTACATTTCAGCACATTGAATGGGAAGTAAATTTTTGTAAATGATTGCTTTCCGATTTAGTGAATTAAAATAAGCGTGGATGACGCAGTTTTTTATACTTGATACCTTAATTTGTTTACTGGAAACTATGCCAGATTTTGAGACGATTTTCATTCTTTAAAACTTGTTTAAACTCCATAAAACCCTAAATAAACAATACGATTCAATCTGCTACATATACGTTTGATGATCTTTCCCTATTTTTCTTGTATTAAGTTACAACGGTATAAATTTTCAATGCTGAAAATAACTGTAAACTATTTTCAGTGATATTCTCCGTTTCAAAGTAGCGGGTACCCAGTTCCAGTAACTTTCATAAATTTATAAATGATCTGACAGAAAGATTTGTGTCAAACATTAAGTTTAAAGCAAAGTCTTGTAACTTATAAATATCAGCAGATAAAATTTTGTAGACGTCATTGTTTTTAGCTAAAGAGGGAATTGTAACTTAATATCCTATTTTAAGTGGTAATTCAGGAGTTCAACTTATAATTTACTCAATCAAAAATACATATTTTACTTGTTTAAGAATGAAGAAAACAACAGGAATATTGTAGAAAGCAATTGTTAAGACTTTTGTTATTAAAACCTCGGTATTTATAACACTCGTCAATTAAAAACGCAGAATTCGAAAATAATAAAGAAACAACTTTCTAGAAGAGTTCTATCTGACAAAGAATAGTAATAAAATTTTTGATTTCAGTACAAGGTTGAGATTGAAAGTACATGTTAGTTAAACTGAGTATAAGAAGACTTTAGAAGAATTCTACTTTGAGAAGAAACTAGAAAACGAAAGTAATCGACGGTTTTGAAAAAATTTTGGAAGAATTCTATTCAAAAATTAAAAAAGGAAAGAAAACTTTTCTACTGAAATAAGCCATTGAGGTCTAAAAAATGAAGATAACTGTCTAAGGTTGCTGAATAATCTGAAATTTCTTACTAAAACTACAGAATGACAGTAATTGACGATGTTTAAAAAAACAATTTAGAAGAATTCTGTTCGGAAAGAAGAAAGGACAGAAGGAGTTTTACTACAATTTTTACTGCAATAAGCTTAAGAAAGAAAATACTTAATTGACCAAGGTTGCTGAAGGATGTAGAATATTCTATGAAAGGCAAATTACTCTATGAACTGAAATGGTGAAACCTTCATGAAATTCTGGAAAAAAAATCTGTTTGAGGACGATTAAAAATAAAAATATTTAGACTTGAGGATTGAAACCATGAAAAAATGGCGATTAAAGAAACATCTAAGTCTGTGAAAATTTTATTTGAAAAGTTGACTATTTGTAAACATTATCCAGAGACATCGTATGAAACGAAACAAACTCTTGCTATTATCAAGCAGTCAGTAGTTAGAAGAAACAGATAAAAAATGTGGAAAGGATTTTTTAGAAATTTCTGTTTACAACTAGAGAAGAAAAAGTGGTAATGGTGGAAAAAAAAGTGGGAGAAGCACAATTGAAGACCAACAAAAAAAAGATTGTGATTGGATCTAGAAGGAGAGAATGAAGAAAGCAATATAAGTTCATGTCTTGACGGTACAGTCAAGAAAGTTCTGGAGATGATCTACTTTAGCAACAGAAACGTTCTAGAATTTTATTGTCAAGATTTTTGTGACGAAAGTTGTGAAATTCTAAAGTTTTTGGAAATTGTTACAACAGAACCTATATCAAAATCTCTTTATTTATAACACTCGTTAGTTAAGAAAGGCACTGAAGCCGTAGATCAGGAGAATTCGAAAAAATTAAAGAAACAACTTTCTAGAAGAATTCTGTTTTAAGAAGAAAAGAAGTAGAATGTTTACTCTGACTCTACTGAAGCTAGAGGACGAAAGTAATCTACAGCGTTTGAAAAAGTTTTGGAAGAATTCTACTCAAAAATTGAAAAAAGGACAGAAAACTTTTCTACTGTAATAAGAAATTGTGGTCTAAAGAAAATGATAACTACCTAAGGTTGCTGAACAATCTGGAATTTCCTACAAAAGCTACAGAATGACAGTAATCGACGATGTTTGACAATAGTTCTAGAATAATTCTATTCGGATATAAGGAAGGACATAATGAGTTTCCCTGCAATAAGTAAGAAGGGCCTAAGAAAAAAAAATTAACGAATGTTACTGAAGAATGTAGAATATTCTATAAAAGGCAAATTACTCTGCGAACTGGTATGAAATTCTGCAAAAAAAAAAATTCTATTTGAAGACGATCAAAGCTAGAAATATTTAGACTTGAAGATTGGAGCCATGAAAGAATGGCGATTAGAGAAATATCTAAGAAGCCTTTGAAAATTTCATTTGAAAAGCAGACTATTCTAGAAAATTTCGGCATTATATAAAATAAGGGTTACGGGGTTCTAGAACGTTGTCCAGAGAGACCGTATGAAACGAAGCTCTTGCCATTATCAATTAGTCAGTAGTTAGAAGAAACAGATTAAAAATATGGAAAGAATTTTTTAGAAATTTTTGTTTACAAATTGGAAAAGAAAAAGTGGTAATGGTGGAAAAAAAGATTGGAGAATCACAACTGAAGACCAACGAAAAGAAGACTGTGATAAAGTATTGGATCTAGCAGGAGAAAATGAAGAAAGCAATATAAGTTAATGTCTCGACGGCAAATTTCTATAAATGGTTTACTTCAGCAACACAAACATTCTAGGAAGCGATTGTCAAGATTTTTGTGATCAAAGTTGTGAAATTCTGAAGTTTTTGAAAATTGTTAAATAGAACCCACATCAAAATCTCGCTATTCATAACACTCGTCAGTTGAGAAAGACATTGAAGCTGTAGATGAGAAGATCTAGTAGAATTATATTTTAAGAAAAGAAAAAATATAATTATCATGTGATACTACTGAAGCTAGAGAACGAAAGTAATCTACAGCCTTTGGAAAACTTTTGGGAGGCCACTACTCAAAAATTAAAAAAAGAACAGAAGTAAGCAATGGGTTCTAAAAAATGAAGATAACTGTCTAAAGTTGCTGAAGAAACTAGAATAGCTACAGAATGACGACAGTAATCGACGGTATATGAAAACACTTCTAGAAGCATTCTAGAAGACTGGAATCTAAGAAATAAGATAATTGACGAATGTTGCTGATGTTCTATGAAAGGAAAATGACTCTGTGAACCGGAGTGGTGAAATTTTCATCAAATTCTAGAAGAAAAATTCTGTTTGAGAACGAACAAAGACAGAAATTGAAGATTGAAGTCATAAAAGAGTGGTGATTAAAGAAGCATCTAAGAGGTTTTTGAAAAGTCTTCTAGAACATTGTCCAACCAGAGAGATAGTATAAAAGGAAACTCCTACTATCATCAAACTAGTCAGTGGAAGGCCAAATTTTGAAGATATTTTACGAACATAAACATGTTTCTCCATGTCCCTAAAGGTACACAAAAAGCAGAACAAAGCTAATGTTATAATGTCTATATTATTATCTAACCGATTCTTTTTTTATTGAGTGTGTGAACAAGAACTGTGCCAAAATTGGCACAATTTGGTGCAAAGGCCAGAAAAAGTGGTTCCAGAATGAGGACCAGACAAGATGTTGTTTATTTCAATAAGTGAAGTCAGGAAATGAGAAGTAGAAAACTCATGACCAAGAATAAAAAGAAGAATAAAAAGAAGAAGAAGAAGAAGGCAGATTTCAGAACCGGTTGAAAAAACTGTGAAAGAATGTTTTCAAAATAATAATAATCTTCGAACCTACTAGACCTATTATTGTCAAATTTTGTGTGTGTTTTAAGACTAATTACTAAACTAATTACTTCATTTTTTCACTTAAGTATATTAATTATTATCATAAAATAAATCAAGTTTTGCAAATCAAATTCTATATTTTTTTGAAAAAACTGGATTTGTTTTTTTAATTAGATATGAATCCATCAAAATTGTACCAGAGTTCCTACTGTATATAAAATTGTACATTTTCAATCAATTATCATGGTGAATATGAAAAAAACGGATCAATATATTTTTTTGCATGTAGATGACGGGTATTCAGTTGAAAAAGTCATAAGTTGGCGGTGTTTTTTTTTTGATAGAAGGAAACGTAGCTACAAATGCAAATATTTTATTAATGCATACTGTTGCGTATAATTGACATTTGACTGAGTTGTTGATAAGGGTTAATTCTATTATACGAAAAGTAAGGTTAGGTTCTACCGTTTCACACTGTTAGGTATCATCAATTAAGTTTCAGATCTGTTATAGATATACTTTACAATGCTTACAAAAAACAAGGCCAACTTGATGACTTTTTCAATTATATATAACTTTGTGGTTAAAGAGCCAAAAAAAGGTTAAAAATATTATTAAGTAGACAAAGAATACAAGAGGTTCAAAAAAATATAAATGCAGCCTAAAGAAAAAGACAAAATAAATGGTAACTAGAAAACAAATTTGCTTAAAATGACTATTATTAAACTAATTAATCATCTTGTGTAAGTTTCAAATTTACAAACCCAAAATCACAACATTTCCCTCCTTTATTTGTCGTCAATTAACACCACTTCGTTTGTTGTTTTCGTTTTTACAACCTCTACAAAAATAAAAAAGTTCAAATTTAGAACACCTGGTGCTACAAATCGCCAAACTTTTCTCTAAAACATCAAACCTAATCAAAATCAATATCAGACACCTTCTTGTTTATTTACCCAGAACGCCATAAAATCCGAACGCAGATCAAATAATTTATTTTACCCATTACATATAAAACCCAACTTTTCAGGAAGAACCTAATAAATCAAGAGGCAAAATTTCAAAGTCAGTTGAACGATTTATCCAAGCAGCTGTCGATCCGGGATGCAGAAGCCACCAAACTACGCTTCCAGATGGAAGAACTCCAAAGAGACGTCTTCGCGAAGTCCGCCGGAATGGATCGTAAGTTTATTTACCCTTCATTACGCAGAGCAGCTTTTTTGCCGTCGCTTTATCGAATTTATCTCTTGCAGCTGAAATCGCATAGTAAAATTTGACGTAAGTTGTGGCGCATCACGGATCTAATGTTGTTTTTTCAGGACTGGAAGGTGAGCTGCAAGCGGCGCACAAGGAATGCGAGCTTCTGCGCCAAAAAATACGCCACTTAGAAAACGATCTCGAAGATTACAAAAAGAAAAACACAGACTTAACCGCGGAAGTTACAGAAAAATCAGGTAAACATTTACGGTTCGAGTTGTGAAAATAATCAGCGGGATTTGTTACCAGGAAGTCTCACAAATTACGAGAGAGAAACCAGTGCGAAAATCGCGGAACTTGAAGGGGTGATTAAAAATCTCGAAACGAAGATTGAAAGTCTAGAAGCGGAATTGGAGACGCTAAAGCAGGATAAAGTGAAACTGGAAGAACAGCGCACGATGATTTTGGCAGAACGTGACGCGGAGAAGAAAAAAGTTGAAGAGATTTTGGAACAAGCTACAACCCAAAAGCAGGAAATCGAGAAAAAGTGGAAACAAGACTTTGAAAAATTGCGCACTATTAACATTATCAAGGAGCAGCAACTTCTCGATGACTTTGAATGGAAACTGAGAGAAGTCCAACAGACGTGCAAGAAGCGCCTAGAGGATAAAGATCGTACCATAGAAGAACGTCTGCAAGATGCGTACAGAGAAGCGGAAAAGAAAATGAAAGAAGCTGAAAAGATGATGGAGCAAGTGGAAGCTATAAAATCGTACGAAATTGAAATAGAGAAGCTCCGAGGATTGACTGTGGATCAAGAAAGCGCCATCAAAGAGATGATAGAGCAACAAGAGCAGATGAAACAAGCCGAAAGTAACTTAAGGACTGAGACTAAAAGACTAAGAAACTTAATAGAAATGGAGAAAGAGAATCTCCAACACATGCAACTGAAACACCATCAAGAAATTTTGGATAAAGAGAGAACTTTGCAGCAAACTCTTCACCAAAAAAGGACTGAAATCGCCATGTACTGGGAAGAAAGACTGTTAAGAGAATGTGGTCGACTGAAAACGGAACTCGAACAGATTCATAACGAAGAAAAACACTACGCTATGGAGACTGTAAGGAGAAATAAAGACGAAGAGTTCCAAATGGCACAAGCCGACTGGGATAAAAAAATGAAAGAGTGTTTGAAAGAGGTGAAGACCAGTTAAATCGTGTTCCTCATAATATTAAGTTAAAGTTCATTTTCAGATAGCAAGTTTAAAACGAGCCCTAGTCCAAAAGGACGAATATTACCGCGGAGAGATGATAAGGGCTCAAACCAACACCGATCGTGAAATCATGGAACTAAGGCGTTTGATGGACAAAATAGACATGTGTCATCACAACCGTTTTGAAAAAGTGGTTCAAGAACACGAAGCTGAACTAGGTAAATAAACAAAGAGTTAATATGTTGCAGTGTGCGGACATATTATGTATCCAAATTTCAACAATAATTTACTTTGGTGTTTTTATTTAAAATTCCAACTCGATCCAAGTTTAAAATACTTTTAGTTTTTGCGCGACCGTCACACATTCTGCTTGACTTTTTCAGAGCGGATTAGCGCAGAAACTGAAAAGAAAATCAAAGAAATCGAAGACAATTGGCAGACTCAAGTCACTTCACTCAGTAACACATTGGAATTGGTAAAAGACCAAATGGAAAAAGAGTCGCAACAAAAAGTCGAATCGTTAATCGAGCAACACCGAACCGAATTAGGTAAGACGAAACCACTTGCGTGGTGTTATTTATTTTGAACGTGTTTAGATTCCCAATGGGACAACTTGATTAGTCAAAAAAGCGAGGCTGTGAAATTAGTTGAGGAGGAGTACATAACTAAGTATCAAACTTTAGAAGAACAGTTTTTAACGCAACAGAAATCGCACCAAGCTCGAGAAATTGATCTGTTGAAGGTTATTGATAGTTTGAAGAATGAGTTAGGGAGCAAAGATTCCGCGTTAGACGATATGCAAAGTAACGTGGACACACTAGAAGGGGGAATACAAGTACTGAATGAAGAAATAGCGCAACAGAATGATCAACTAACCAAAACGAAGAAGGAATCCGATCACAAAATAAGGTAATTACACATTAATGCCTGCAAGTAGCATCTAAGTCCTTGTATTCTAAAAATAGTCAGGTTACTTAGCCAAGTTTCAAAACTTAAGTCAGCCAGCATGATTGATGTATTTTCATCTTGTAAACTAATATTAGCTGTACTAATAAAATTTCTTTTCCCGTCCGTAGATGTACTAAAGATCTGTCGACGAACACATCCTATCTAGTGCTTCTTTTCCCGTTACTTTCATGGTTCTTGTCCGCCTCTTTCATTCAAACCCTAACTTTCATTTTACTGTCACTGTTTTGTCTTTTACACTAGAATTTAGTCTTTTCTGCATGCATTTATTTCCTCCTCGTGTGATCCTAATTCTTTTCCTTTCCAATCGATGTAGAGGTCTTCAAGAAACCATCACCAAACTTCACGAACAACAAGAGAAGGAAAGAGAAGCCTTCCGACTTAAACTCATGGGGGTCCAAAAACAATCCCAAGACACCATCCACCACCTACAAAGGAAGTGTCAATGTCTCACTAAATTGTAAGTCGATCTGCCTTCACTACTCAACTACATTAACATTTTCAAGGTTCGAAGAAGTTAGACTTCGTTACGAAAGACGAGAATCGCGTCAAGAAGACCTGAACATAATTTCGGACTTGCGTCAAGTGATCGCCGAACAGGAAAAGGACTTGGCTTGTCTAAACGAAGAAAAAAGATACTTCCAAATGCGACTGATCAGTTTGGAGAAGCGATTGGACGGAAATGAATCGGCTGACGAGGAAGCATTTGAAGATGCCGAACAACCCAAAACCCCCAAGAATGAATTGCCTGAACCGCCTAGCTACCCTCCTAACGGTGTTCCACCGCCCTCTTACCCTAATTTTCCAGCAGCTCACACACTTTCTATACCGCCAACAATACCAGAATGTGATGAATAATTTTTGTTATTTTACTAAATTTGTAACAATTTGTATTATAATGTGATTGTATATTAAAGACATCGAAAAAGTTTGAATAGAAAAAAAAATGGAAGTGTGGTTTTAGTAGTCGTCGTTGGTGAAGGGGTGATTTGGGTGGCCTGTAGCTCTAGACAAGAAAAAAAAAATTAATCGAGTGGAATTTGTTTAACTAAAAGTCTTACTCTACGAAGTGGCACACTCTTCCATTGCAGTCAAACGTATCAAGATACGCAATATCGTCAGAGCTTAGTTCGAAGTCAAAAATGTCCAAATTTTCTCTCAGTCTTGACTTATTGACCGATTTGGGAATGGTAATGTTGCCACGTTGGATTTGGTATCTAAGAATGACTTGTGCTGGACTTTTCTTGTATTTAGCTGCAATTTGCACGATTTTTGGATCTTCCGTGAGCTTTGGGTCGTCTGGTTTAGCCCAAGGTCTGTCAGGAGACCCCAAGGGACTATAAGCCGTCACCGTGATTCCTTTAGATTTGCAGAATTCAATCAGTTTCTTTTGGTTCAAGTGAGGGTGGCATTCAATCTAAACAATAAAGTTTGAACCAAAGTTAGAAGTAGGTAGACACGTACTTGATTGGTGGCTGGCACGATGGTAGCTTTCTCGAGGACTCTTTCAATTTGTCGCTTATTAAAGTTTGATATGCCAATAGATTTTGCAAGGCCTTTTTTGTTGACTTCTTCCATGGCTTTCCAGACGTCCACGTAGTCCACGTTGCCGAAGACAAATTTATCGTTGGCATCAACAGGGTAGAGGTCAGGACCTGCCTAAAACGTTATTGTAGAATTAAACTGCAGTGTCACACAAAGTGGTTACTTTAAAATCAACAGGCCAGTGAATCAAATACAAATCAAGATAATCCAGTCCCAGATTTTTAAGAGTGACTTTGAGTGCTGGTTCCACCAAGTCTGATCTGTGCGAATTGCACCATAATTTGCTCGTAATGTAGAGGTCTTCCCGTTTCACTACTCCTTCCGATATTTTGGTTTTTATGGCCTCTCCGACTTCTTTTTCATTGCCGTATAGGTGGGCACAATCAATGTGGCGATAGCCAATATCAATTGCATCTTTTACAGCCTGGACAACTTCTCCTGGTTTCGACTGAAATTATGACTAATGAGAATTGATGAAGCTAATAAAGATTAATTATGTTCCTGACCGGCAATTAAAAGCGTCATTCATTTATATTTAGGTTGATTTATGAATTTTTATGATTATGTAATGTCATGATTGTGTCTAGATAGCGGCTACATCGTGTGTACACATATGTTAAATAAAAATAAGATAAATCAATACCAACTTTCCAAGTTCCTAAACCAAACATGGGGAACGTCTGGCCATTGTTGAATTTTATTTCTGGAACCTTAGGCATCTCGTTGAAAATGAAGAATCACTGAATAATTTATCGCAGATAATTTGTACTGAATTAAATGTTGATTTATATACTTCCACACAAATCTGGTTTGCTAAGTCGAGTGGAAAGATAAGGCTGTTGATATTAGACACGAAGGTCATTTTTTTCTGTTTCTCTCTAATTACTTCAATTACTGTAATGCTGCTTGAGTTCAAATTTTGTGACTGTTTTTTATTGACTAATAAAGTACTAGTGTACAAATTATTACACACATATTATTTATATTGTATGATATGAAACAAATAAGTAATAATAACAAACAAGTTAGATTTCTCCTTTTTGAAATTCTATTCATTGTTTAGAATAACTTGATTCTAAATCATGGTCGTATATTAACTAAATCCAAAGCTATAAAAAGTCCAGCATGAAAATTTCCTATCAATTTGAACAGAACAATACATCATCAATTTTTTTGTCTGAATTTAACCCATCACATAATTTTGTGATATGTTCTTTAAATAAATCAGAGATGAATTGTCACGAACTCAGCAATATAAAAAAAAATGCAACGAAGAAAATAACTCCATCAAAAGCAGTGAAACATTATTAGATGAACATATACGAAAATTTTAAAGGTCGTTTTATAAACTTGCCGTTGACGTTAACGTTGTAAGATAAATACGCACGAAGGTATGCGTCGTTTATGTCATCCGTTGACGTTGCAGTTGAAGTTGAGGTGACGTTCGAGATGACCAACTTTTAACTTTCGCCGTTACGTTTGCGGTTGTCGTTGGTTTTCAACCAATCAAATTGCAGCCAACTTGAAGGAAAATACCCTGAAAAAAGAGGGACGTTTTTCTGGTTGACAGAACTAATTCCACGACAATAAAATTTTGATAGAGATGAGGTCCACTTAACTTAAAACATGTTTAAAATGATAGATTTGTATAGGGGAATATCGATTTTGCAATTACGCTCCACCTCTCAGTCTGACAACGAATGGAAAATTTATGTTTTTAATTAATACAGTTAGTTTTATTTGTATAACACGATTATTTAAAAACATATTTCACATGGTAATTTCTCGTAGAAAAAAAAAGGATTTTATTAAGCTCCACCTATCGGCTCACGACGAATAAAAAAAAACATCAGAATTGAGATAGGGTGGGTGGGCGGGGCTTATATTTTGCCTTTTTTTTTAATATACATAGCCATCTTTTCACAACAAGAAACTTAAAACATAGTTAGAATGGTACATTTTTGCAAGGAAATATGGATTTTGCGATAATGTAAAATCGAAATTTTCTGTTACAAATTTTCCATTTTAAACATGTTTTAAGTTTCTTGTTGTGAAAAAAAGTGTACACATATTGAAACAAAAAGGTAAAATGTAAGCCCGCCCACCCGCCTTATCTTAATTGTGATGATTTTTTTTTTCGCCGAGAACCAAGGGGGCGGATATTAAGTGCAAAATATGTATTTCTTTACAAGAAATTAAAAACATGTTTTTGAGTGTCGTGTTATTCAAAGAATACAATGTATATTAAGAAAAAAAAGCAGACAAATATGGATCTTGCAATTAAACCCCGCCCTTCGATCTGACAACGAATGAAAAATTCATCACAATTGAGAATTGAGATCGGGGCGGGTATAGGTGGGGCCTAATCTTTGACTTTATTTTTTTTCTCAATATACATAGTATTCTTTGAACCACACGATACTCAAATACATGTTTTTAGTATCTCGCAGAGAAAGAAGGATTTTGCAGTTAAACTCCGTCCTCTTGGCTCACGACGAATAAAAAAATCATCACAATTGAGACAGGGCGGGTGGGCGGGGCTACATTTTGCCTTTTTTTCTTAAGTTCTTTCTCTTAAAATGGATCTGAATTTGAAACGAAGTAGTTTAAATCCCTAAATATCCTGGTCTTACACTAATTTCACTCGTTGATGGGTATAGTGGCGTCGAATGCAATTCATTTTTGTTTACACAATTGCCCTTTCGTGAAATTACAAACTAATTTAAATATACACGTGTTTTCACTGCACTCACTCAACAAGAAGTGGCCCTTTTGAAAAGGACTTGTACTACTAACCCCAAAACTACCAACCTTTAGATTTTTCGATTTACCGTTTTCGATGTATTGAAATGAGTGTGGTGCAAGCTATATTACTGAGGAAACAGCAATTGTGAGTGAAAATTTGCCTGAATCAACTTTGGCTGTCCTTTCAACTTATAATAAGGTAGTTTAAAATATATGGCTGCATGAGCACGAGCAGGAGTGTAAAAATTTTACAGGCTATAGCCAGTTAAGTGATATTTTCATGTTGAATACAGTGACTTGATAAATTGATGTTTTCAAGTGAGAAACAAATAAAATATTTAATATGTCGTTTAGTAGTTTTTCAAAACGTCTAATTTTGCGAAAACATGTTATCGCTTTTAACAAAGTTGTTTCGCCATAAAAAACACACTTAGTTTTATTGCCTTTCAGTGCAGTATCATATCACTTACACCTAATTTCCTATGAAGGCCAACCGGCGCACCGATAGCATTGTACTCAGTATCATAGACTAAAACACTTTTAACAGCATTATTGCACTAAAATAAAACACATTTTTAGGGTCAATATTTTTTAAAAGATACAGTTTTATTCATTTTTTATTTAGTACTTTGTTTTTCTAACCATATTTTTGTTTTTTGTTTTTATTATTTTCCTTCGTTCAAATGTAGAAATTATGAGATAAATAATTATTTGTGACATCTTCAAGTACAGATTAACAGCATTTTAAAAATTTTCCTATCTTCAACTAACGTATTTTTTTCTACAATGACACAACATTTTTGCAGGATACATCTAATCAATGAGATACTATCAAGAAAAATTGGTGAGTATAGTACGCAAATAAAGATAAAATGTGGAAAAATCCTGTCATGCTATGAGCTGTATCTGAACGTGAAATTTAAAAGATGCTTGAGTGAAGTATTAGGAATTTTTTTGTAGATATTACATTATTGTAATTATTATAATACATATTCTGAGGTATATCTTCAATTTATTGCATCATACCGATTTGCATTAATCACGCAGAAATTAACAACCTTGATCGGTTTTTTAACTACCGTCTTAGAAAGTAAATAGATACTCTCAAGATCCCGGTGTTACTCTTGCAATAAAAATAGTTACTTGTCATTAAACTTAGCTTTTATCCTAGACTATTTTTGGTAAGGTAAATAAAAGTACATCATATTTAAATCAAAAGTAAACTTTATTCAGTACCACAAAAGTTACAAAATATAAACTTAAATCTCATTATGTGCGTATCGTGATCTCCAGTCCAATTTAGTACTCATCAGAGAAAGGATAGTCTTTATGGGTGGTAGCACTGAAAAAAGAAAATTCAAACAAACCGGATCAAAAACAGCTTCAACGTACTCAATGTATGGGCAAATTCGTCCATTGCAGTCAAACGTGTTAATCTGCTGGATATCTGCATCTGAAAGCTCGAAGTCCCAAATGTTGAAATTCTCCTGAATTCTTGATTTCGTGACAGACTTAGGAATGACGATGTGTCCTCTTTGCACCTGATACTTCAGTACGACTTGAGCAGAAGTTTTGTTGTACTTTTGTGCAATAGCCTTGATTTTTGGGTCCTCCAAAAGCAGCGGCTCTTCCGGTTTAGCCCATGGTCTATCCGGCGACCCTAAAGGACTGTAAGCCGTGATAGTAATCCCTTTGGACTTGCAGTATTCAGAAAGCTTCAGCTGAGTCAAGTATGGGTGACACTCAATCTGCAACCAATTATCACGAATGAGTCAGCTTCGTTTAAATTGTTAAATTAAATTAATGCCTGACCTGATTGGTGGCTGGCACAACGGTAGCGTTTGTCAACAATCTTTCAATCTGGCGTTTATTGAAATTGGAGATTCCAATGAGTTTGGTTAAACCCTTCTTATTAACATCCTCCATGGCTTTCCACGTATCGACGTAGTCCACGTCGCTGAATGCAGCTTTTCCAGACCCATCTACTGGAAATAGTTCATCGCCTTCTTTGAGGGCGAAGGGCCAGTGGACGAGGTAAAGATCGAGATACTCCAAACCCAAATTGCTGAGGGTTTTCCGGAGGGCTGGTTCTACCATATCTGGGCGGTGGTACGTGTTCCATAGTTTACTGGTAATGAAAAGATTCGCTCTGGTCACAACGCCTTCTGCAATTTTCGTTTTGATGCCTTCACCCACTTCTTTTTCGTTGCCGTAGACGTGGGCGCAGTCGAAGTGGCGATAACCGATATCGATTGCGTCCTTCACAGCTTGAGCAACTTCTCCCGGCTTAGACTAAAAGAAAAACTAGTTAGAGGAAGTCGCCTCAAACTTGACCTTCAAGTCTGGCAAGTGTGTTAATAGTGAACAAGAATGAATCGTTTACTCGCCGGTTCTAGGTCACAATTTGTCCCAATGCAAAATCTACCATAACTGATTGCATAACAACCAATTGCATAATATATGCGACACTTCCTGTTTTGTGTTATGATTATGATTATTGTTTTGGAGTGACAACAATGGTGCGAAAATTGTGTTACCTTCCAGGTTCCCAGACCAAAAATGGGAATAGGGTGGCCTGCTTTTGTTTGTACGTTGGGCACTTTGGCTGCCATGTTTTGGGAAATTGAACACTGGCAGTGTTAGATAATAACTACCTGCCGTCTTCACGCACTAACACAAACAGAAAATATTGGCACTCTGCTCTGGCAGAAAATGTGTTAATGCGAAGGTCGCGTGGAATTTTTAGCCAAGAGCGCATGCATAGGAACGTGAATTGCGTAGGGTTGATTCATTCTTAAAGACTGTTTGACGTGGAAATTGAGGAAAAACTTGTTGTTTACGAAAGCATGGCAACGGGTGGTTTTGAGTGGTTCGATTTTTGTACAACCTACTGTCTGCGCAGGTTGTGAATTTTCATTAAAATTATTATACGGACAGGATGTTCGCAGGTCCCTTGTATAAACTGTTATTCTACTGATTCATAATTAGAACGCAAAGAATGCGATTAATCATTTTATGCATAAAAGTTTCCATAGAATCTTAATCAGACAGGATAGATTCTATAAAGTTTGATCCTTACATAAGATAGCAAAGTTTTCAAACTGTTGTGATAACCCAAACATCTCGCCTTAAATTGAAATGTGAAAACAAATTGAAAACCCGCGAAAAAATTCAAAATTTGGCCTTAGCTGTGATCGTCTAACAAAGTGGAACCCTCGTTGTGTTTTTGAAAAAATAGCGGGATGCGTTCAGATGCAGATGGTGGACTCCAAGGTTGCAAAAGTACCGCTAAATAAAACACAAAATTTATTAAGGATACGAAATTATTTATTCCTCCAATGACAAAAAAATAAATAAAAAAGGCTGCGAGCGAGGGTGACTCGTGACTTGCCCTCAGGCTTCCCAATCGCTTCTCAGCTCAAAAGAAAAACTTATTGAACTTTGAATAAAATTTAAATGAAATCAAATTAAACGTTCTGAATCAATGCAAATATTTTAAAATCACAAATTTACTAAAAACAAAGCAAAATCTGAAGTACCTACAGTAATTGGATACAAATACACAAGTTATTACAGTGCAGCGGCAGCAGCACCAGAGCGCTATAAGAGTGTAGCGATCGAACTATGTCGATTTCAGTCTAGAGCACAACAAAAATATAGGGGCGTTATAGCACGAACGAAGTTTGGGGCTCCCGGTCGTGGCTGTTCTCCCCCGCGACGGTGATCTATCTATCGCAAACACTACAGCTCAGCACCCCTTTATCTAACGAAGAGACGTGCCGTGTTACGCAGGCGGTTACGATCGGAAACTCGTGGTTGGAAGTCACGGACATAAATAAGCTGACAGAGTCACGTTATCCCGACCGCTCCCCTGACTGCTATACAAAGTCTGCATACTTTGTGCAGATGGCGCGATAAATCCCGCCTATTCGACTAGGAACCGCGCCCTCCGCTTCAGTCACGTATTTCGGTGTTATTTAACCTCAGTTCCATTTATAATGTTTAATTTCTATGACTCTGATATTAACGACAATTGAACAAGTGTTAAAGTTTCAAAAAGGGCAATAAACAACATTTAAATTCGCCATACACTCTTGTGAAATTTTAAACAACAAATAATTCTTATTTAAGATTAAGATTGGGCATCAGATAATTTATATAATGGAAACGTTCATGAACAAAATATTTACAAAACAAAAAACTAGCAAATATTTATAAAAAGAAAAGATCTGGTGCAACTGCAAATATTACGTGAGGTTAAAACTGCAGAGCACGGAAATTTACGTTCAATTTAAATTATACAACAAAGAAACTTACTGAGGTTAAAATTGTGAGATAGAGAAATATTGTATGAGTTGAAAATTGCAAAGCTAACAAATTTACATGAGATTAATATTTGCCACACTTTATCAACGATTCAAACAAAGAATGATGTAACATTATGCCATGATCCAAGTGATTGGCTGCTTAAAACAATTTATTTTGAGGGTTTGTATCATGGACTGCTTATCCCAAACAAAACACAAAATGCATCAGGCGTTGCGAGGAAAGCTTCTCGGTGATGTAGTTTTTAGCGTTACGAGAAAGTTATCTCAATGATACAGTTGTGCACGTTGCCAGAGAAATATCTCGGTGAAGTGATAATGATACGGTAATAATGACGATGATAACTGCATAAGGAAAGAAATCTTTAATCCCCCCGTCCCGCAGTGCACGATATTATGAATTCTGCTGCACTTTCTATGGTCTTTTTCCACAGTGGCGCAACGTTAGGTTAATTTAACTGCCGTAAATGAACTATTAGCAATCCTGACTAATTGAATTTCATGAAATCTCCTAGTGAGTGTTTATCTAAATAAATCTAATGTCTGTTAAATTGTGTTAGCACCAGTTAACGATTAAAATCCTATCATGAACTGTGAATTTACAAACAATGAATTAAATTTATACGGGTTGGCGTCGATCGAAAATTCACATTCACAAATTAGCTACCAACTAGCCAAAAAGTGTTAACGTGCACATGGTTGCCTTTGTTTAACGATTTTTTTGATTGATTTTTTTTAATTCAAATTATTCAAATGTGATTTCGTGCAGCTGCTAATTTTTTTTCAGCGCGAAATTTTAATTCTAATTCGGTCACCACACTATGGTGACTACAAACCATAAAACTCGGCAAGATAGAGTATACGAAAGATTGCGGTGTTATGAATTCGTTAAAGACATTCCAATTTACTACTGAAATGCTTTTCCTGGATTTTGAAATATATTTTGTAGGACTAATGCATGGATTCAATAGTGGGGTGACGACACCGCCATATACATTTTTATGAGTATTATTATAGATAAGGTGAACTAGACTACAAAAAGGTCACCTTGTTTTGTGAGTTACATTTACACTTTTAAATTTAATTTTTTTGTACTTTAAATAAGTTCAAACACAAAGTGGTGAACCCCAAAGTTGGAAAACGGTAAATTGTTTACTCCTCTCTCAAGAGGGAAAAGTTGTTGAAATAAGCTACACGGAACTTACAACTTATCGATACAAATACAAAATCTTCTGCTTCCATCCTCGCAAAGGAAGCATCCAGATAGGAGCGAAAATCCGATACTGCAGGTAAACATTCACGTGAACAACGGCAAGGAAAGAAAAACTCTCAATTAGAGCGTGTGGTCCCGTCACTTGTGCGTTTATTCCGGTTTAAATTAAAAACCTCTTGAGTTTGACGATAATAAAATAGGTACCACAATTATAAGGAAGAAAACAAAGAAAATTTAATTATGCCACATACAAGAATTTCAAAGAAAAACCACATATTAAATACGGTCAAACTTAAAATAATGAATAAATGTTCAAATTCAAGTTGTAAGAAATTATTACACCTATAAATAAATATTAAATTTTTTCGAGTTTTCGAGTCCACGATGATGTTAATTTAACATTAGTTTAGATTAATTCACCTTATGACGTTTCGTATTATTTTAAGAAGCACAGTACTCGATTTTTTCGCCACTAAATTTTGTACCAGTTTTATTCAAAAATAATTTATTTTAATAACATTGCTACACGTGTTTCAGTCGACAATACCTTGATCATCATGGAGCAGAATAACTTGTGTGATTACTCCATGGTAGAAGGAGACATGGTATAGGCATACGCATCGGGTGTGACGTCAAGTGGGGTGAAATTAGCGCGAAATTTAAAATACAATTCGTTATCCGACAACTAATTGACGTATTGGACAGAGCAATGACAACTCAAGCTGAAATTCCCTAGACTTCCCTAGCGAAGCTCACAAGAGTCACAAGGTCGTTGATGCCACCTAACGTCACAAATAGATGCGCAGACCATTTTTAAATTGGTACATCGGATGCCTATACCATGTCTCCTTCTACCATGTGATTACTCTATATTTACAGTTTATAAGTCCTGATGAACTTACTGTGTACCGAAACACGTGTGGCAATGTTATAACTTATAACAATAAATTATTTAGAACTAAAATTTCTATATTACAAAATTTATTAAAAAATGCATTTGTTTTATGTTTGTGTAGTGTACAATGTCAGTGGAGGTCAATATTTTAGCAAGTGTCACCTTACTGAAATAAAAAGATCAATAAACAAGAATAAAATTTCATTAAGATTTTCACAGGAAGATTAAACCAGCTCCTCAAATTTGGAAAGTGAGTAGATAAAAGTTGAAAAGGTAGATAAGTTCTAGAACATCCTGCATAAAACATCTCATCGGATGATACTAGATTAAGAATTTTTTTAAACAATACACGATTGTTTTCACCTGAGCTCGGTATGCTTTGCTGAAGAGATAAAATCAATTTTCTACGTTGGGTTGTACCTACACAAAACATTTTGTAATAAATATGCAAAATTTGTAAGTGCTGATAAGCAGTTGTTTTTTGCTGAGACGATAAGCCGCATTCAACATGGTATTTAACTGATTATTATTTTTGATGATTAAAACTGTCAGTAAAACCGATAACTATGTGGTAAATGGAATGGATGATTTTGCACATTATTAGATTTTATAGTTGTACGATTTTTTTTTGTTTTATGTTTATATGCAAGGTCATAAGACATTTGGATCATACAAATTTATAATTTTAGAAATTTCTTCATTTAAACAATATAATCGCGGCCAGAAAATCTTGGACGTCATTTTTCTGTCATTTTGATTCCAGTGTCAGCATCCCGAAGTGTCAAAAAAGACAACACGAAAAAAATAAGTGTAAATTATTTCAAAGTGTTTCAAACCTTCTTATAATGGAATGACATTGACGTCCAAAATTTTTTGGCCGCTACTGTACCTTATCGACTATAGGTATATGTAAACTTAAGTAACTTACGTCAACTCGTAAGTCACTCTATAGTGTGATAGTAACTATAATATGTTAATATTAAAACTTTGTACCTTTTGATAACGACTAGACCATAAAATATTGAACTAATTGCGTGATTAAAATGCCGAAACATTTCCGACGTGTAAATGAACATCAAGTCGAAATGTTTACAGCAAATTACAATGGTAATATTGTGAAATTTTTATACGACATACACACAAACGCTTGATTACATGACTCATTACAAAACAGAAATTGCAACGAAATATATCTAAATTATTTTTTTATTAATAAGAATAATAACAATATAGGACATAAATAAATAATTCCAGTTCCCAGAATTTTACGAAAACCGTTTCTGAGTTTCGATGCAATAAATCGGTTCATGAATTACTCCTAATTTTTTTTGTGACAGTTTTGTCATCTCAAATAACAGAAACAATTTTTATCGGTTCAAAACTATCAAAAAGTATAAACAAAAAATAACACTCAAGAAATTAAGTATATTTCAAACAAATCTTCAAAAAAATAACATTCATAAAGTGCGGTGGTGAATCCATCAATCACTTGTGCCTCCATTAATATTCATCTCCATGGGAGAAAGGATGATCTTTGTGGCTGAAAGCACTGCAAAACAGACCATTAACCAAACATATCTAAACTATTCCAAAAATCTTACTCAGTGTATGGGCAAATTCTTCCATTACAGTCAAAAGTATTGATCAATGCGATATCGTCAGCAGTCAAATTAAAGTCCCAAATATCAAAATTCTCCTTAATTCTGGACTTCGTGACGGATTTGGGAATGGTAATGTGTCCTCTTTGCACCTGGTATTTCAAAACCACTTGTGCTGGAGTCTTCTTATACTTCTGGGCAATCTTCTTGATCTTTTCGTCGTCCAAAAGTTGCGGATCTCCAGGTTGAGCCCAAGGTCTATCCGGCGAACCAAGAGGACTGTAGGCAGTGATGAGAATACCTTGGGATTTGCAGTACTCTGTTAGCTTCAGTTGGGTTAGGTATGGGTGACACTCGATCTGGTTGGTTGCTGGTACGATGGTAGCGTTTTGCAGCAGTCGCTCGATTTGTCGTTTGTTGAAATTGGAGATACCAATGGATTTAGTTAGACCTTTTTTGGCAACAGCTTCCATAGCTTTCCAAGTGTCGACGTAGTCTACGTCGCTGTATGCTGTTTGGCCGGATGCGTCAACAGGGAACATGTCGCCTTCTTCCTGTTGTGTAAAATTATACTATAGAATAGTCACACTAATGTGTCTACCAACCTTCAATGCAAACGGCCAGTGAATAAGATACAGGTCGAGATATTCGAGTCCCAGGTCACTAAGGGTAAGTTTTAGGTTTTTCTCGACCAAGTCGGGTCGATGGAACGTATTCCATAGTTTGCTGGTGACGAAAAGGTCTTCACGTTTTACCACACCTTCAGCAATTTTTGCCTTGATTGCTGCACCTACTTCTTTTTCGTTGACGTAAGCATAAGCACAATCGATGTGGCGGTAGCCGATGTCGATGGCATCTTTCACGGCTTGTGTCACCTCACCTGGTTTCGACTAAACCAACGAAAAATTATTATGGTCAAATATTAAGCAATCAAAAATCCTACCTTCCAAGTTCCTAATCCAAAAATAGGAAAAGTTTGGCCGTTGTTGAATTTTACTGTTGGAACCTTCACCATTTTTCAAAGTTGTTATACAATGTTAGAATGATTAACGCTTGTTATTACTGTACTGTTGATCGCACTACCGACACACTAACTACTAAATGTGCAAAACTACATCGTATTATTTATACGGCACACATTTTTTACACATGCGAACTGGGTTTATAGCAATTCGGTAGGGATAGATTATGTGGACTAAAGATTATAGCTACAAAGTGTTTACTTTATGATTAACTCTGTTATAATTATGATCTTAAACTGTTTCTAGATTTTTATGTGTCATAAAAATAATGCATTATGTGCTTTAAATTCGGTAATAAGTAGTCAAATAGGCTATATTTATAACAATAGACCGAATAGGTAGCCACTTTGTTAATATCTTTAGAGGAAGTTATCAAAAACAATTTGATAGAAAATAGTTAAGTATGTGGTACTTTTTATTAGCAACAAACCTTCTTTTATACGTTCCTAATAAAAAGTACCATCAACAAAACAGATTAAGATAACAGGCTATAAGTAAACAGTTACATAATATTAACGATAAAGAATCGTAATATTACTGATGGTATTTTTGAACGAATCGAGTAATGATAACCTTTCGTTTCTTCTTAGTAAAATAAAATTAGAAAACGAATGCAAGCTGTCAAATCTCCAAAACAAACGGTATTAAAGTCTGCAACAAGTGAATACAGAATCACCGTTTGCTGTTTTTAAAAACGAAAAGTTTGAATTTTCCGTTGTTAATTTATAAGTATCTATTCTAATAAACATCAAATTTTTCCTTGAAAACTACTGTTCCAAAAATAAATCCTCGTCTTGTGTTTTTTATGATACTATTATATGTGTCATAACTCGTAAGTATCAAATACTTTTCAGTGCTAAAATGTGATAATTCTGAATAATAGAAACCGGAATTATCCGATATCCGTATAATCTACAATAATTGCTTAGTACAAAGTTATCACAAGCACTATCCAAATACTTATCTAAGTGAACGTACCGCTTACTGTAAAAGCTACTTGTACTATAATTATTTTTGTGTTTAAATGGATAGCACACACAGTTTTTTCGCTCCAAAACTGATATCTAGATAAAAATATACTGGAAAAACGGTTTCAGGCTGTCAATTTCAATTAATTTTTTATTTACAATCAGCAGTTTTGTTGATTTGTTTTTGACAAAGTGATAAAATCGGAAGAAGATGTCGTAACACATAATCACTAATGAATGATATTTTGGTTTTTGATAACTTTGGCGACAAACACAAAGATAAAGTAAAATTTGAGCACGTCAAAGTAATGATCACTCTTTAGCTTTAAAATGGTGTTTATATTTATGTGTATTGAACTCTTATAAATAGTGTTGTTCCTTCTGAAATTTATCAATTTTTGTGAAAATTTAGCACCACCTTGCTGCTTTAAAATTTTGTTTTGGAAATTTTGACAGCCATCAAAATTGAGTTGACTTTTTTTATGCCAAGTCCAATCAACACATTTGTTTAAAAATATATAATGTATTTTGCAAAAAAACCTCACGAAATTTTAATTCGAAAAATTAAAAACTAAGAAAAAATCATTCAATAAGCTTGGCAACTAAACATTTGTAGAGGAATGCCACCCTCGGCTTGCTAGTAGTAGGGCGATTATAATTTTTCTTTTGTTATGAGTGTAAACACATGTTAAATTGGTATGTAATTTTGTATATAATTTCACCAAAAGACAATTGTTTAACCAAAATGAATCGCATTCGACACCACAGTCTTTTTCCAACGAGTATAATTAGTGTAAGACCAGTTAATTAGTGTAACTTTTGTTTCACTGTTCATGTTAAGATTTTTAATTGTTCATGATTCTAGTTTATACAATTGGCGGATTTTTACCTATTCAGGCTTAATTCCTTTCTGTAAAAATGTATATAAATGTTCTCAATGTTCTTACTTAAGTCATTAATTACATTATTCACACTTCATAACTTCTCACTTGAGATTTATAATACTTCAGTTATAGCATTTAAACTAATCTTAAACGTTTATACAATTTGAGAAAATGGACCTTAAAAACTATCATCAGTTAAATTAAATACCATCGTGGACTCGAAAAGGGAGATGTATTTTATATTTATGTTATCTAATTTAATTTAATCACTTGCTTGAATTAGTGCATAATTCAACCTCACTGTGGAGTAACTAAATGTTACTCGTTATAAATGGGAAAAATTTGCCCAAACAGATGTTAAATTGAAAACTTCATGAGAAGACCCGCGTCCTTGTTAATAGCTGGCTGTTTTGCGAAGACGAGATATAGAGTCTAATATGCGACAAGTTTTTTGGGCATAATTACAGATATGATGTGTCTTATATAAATCAATAGAGTAAAATCACCAACAAAGGGTGACAGACTACGACGAGGAACTTAACCATTATAGTATAGGTGATTTGAATATTACCAATTACAGTTTCTTTTTTCTTTGGATGTTTAAATTTGCTATATGCAAAGTTTTGTATCGATCTGTAACATATGATTTCATTTTTGATTAAAGGCACTTTTCCGACCTTGGGGTCACCATTTTCCATTTTAGTGCATTCCGTCAAAAAAAACACACACCTTAGGGTTCAAGACGAAATTTTGAATTTTTCGCGGTTTTTTTGTGCACATGTCTCATTTTAACGGGATGTTAGGGTTATCATATTGTGGTGACCAAATCTGAATTAAAATTTCGCGCTGAAAAAAAAACAGCGGCGCGAAATCGCATTTGAATAATTTGAATTTGAAAAAAATTCAATCAAGAAAATTGTGAAACATAGGCAACCATCTGCACGTTTAGTTCTTTTCTGGTAGTTGGTAGCTCTTCTAAGGAATTTCTGGGGAGTATCTGGTGAGAGGGTTGGTAGAAGTTGGCGTGTTTGGTAGAGGGTAGGTGACGCGTCACTGTTGTTTTGGTAGTTAATAAAAAGGGAGTGCCTTTGTTTAACAAAAATTAATCGTAACGACGACGACGCCACAGTTTCCTCAACACGCGTAGCTAATTCTTTCGGTTTTTCGAAACGGAAATAGGCGAATTTGCGACCAACGCCAACACGTGGTGTAAATTTGTTTTATTGTTTGCAAATTCACAGTTCATGTTAGGATTTTAATCGTTAACTCGTTCTAACACAATTTAACCGTCATGAGGTGTAAAGCACTTGCTAAGATATTAGATAAGATTCACTTAGTCAGGACTCGTCTTTTGTTTATCAAATTATGAATAAGTTTTCTGCATGCATCGCGACGCTGGATGCATTTTGTGTTTATTTACCATGTGATTGTTTGGGATAAGCTGGGGACACTTCACGATATAAACTCTAAAAGCTAATTGACCCTTTTCCTGTAAGATCGTAAAACTTCCATAGTGACTTTCCGTGCGCACGCATCTTCAAAACCACGTTGGAAATAGTATCCGGCACTCCGGCAGCAGAGCAAAGGCCTGTGACAACAAACCGCTTTGACAGAATGCAACCGGCTACACATGCGTAATCGGTCGCTCATTGGTTAATTTTAACTTGGCGCTCTAAAAATCTGACTTCGCCTGCGCGATGTTGTCTCACTCTGTATCATTGGAATTTATATAATGTCTACTCACTTTGCTTACAGGAAAAGGGTCAGTTGTTTTAAATAACTAATCACTTGGATAAAGGCATAATTTAGCATCATGTAAATTCTTTGTTTCAAACGTTGATAAAATGTATCAAATATTAAACTAATATCATTTTATTAGCTTTGCAATTTTTTCACCTCATGCAATTTTTCTCTATCTAACAATTTTAGCCTCAATAATTTTGTTTGCTGTATAATTTAAATTGAACGTAAATTTTCATGCTATGCAGTTCCTAACTTCACGGTCCTCACGTAATGTTTTTTTTTGTCTGCGCAACTTTTATTTCACACCAGATCTTTTTTTGTTTTTATAAATCTTTGCTAGTTTTTTTCCATGTAAATATTTTGTTAATTAATGCTTCCATCATATAAATTGTCTGCTGCCCAATCTTAATCTCAGATGAGAATTCTTTGCTGTTTAAAAAAATCCCACGAGAGTGTATGGTGAATTTAAATGTTCTTTATTGCTTCTTTTTGAAACTTTAATAGTTGTTCGGTTGTAGTTTGTAGTTAATATCAGAGTTATAGAAAGTGAACATTTAAATGGAATTGAGGTAAATAACACAGACACGTGACAGAAGCGGAGGGCGCGGTTCCGAGTCGAGCTGCATCCAGTTACTTCAATTCAGATTTTTCTTTGTTTTCATTAAATTTGTGATTTTCAAATATTTGCATTGATTCAGAACTTTTAATTTTTGATTGCAGTCAAAGTTAGGCAAGTTTTTTTTTGTAGCTGAGCATTAAGAGGTGTTTTCAACCGGCGAAACTTAGTCGCAGCTTTTTTTTTTGACAGTGGAGGAATAAATGATTTTGTGTCGTCCATATATTTTGTGTTTTATTTAGCGGTACTTTTCCAACCAAACAAACACAATGTAGGATTCCATTTTATTTTTTTAGACGATCACAACCAAGGTCAAATTTTTGAATGTTTGAATTTTTCGCGGGCATCACAATATCCTTTCTTATTTTGGTTAATAAATATTCTTCATTACTAAAATTGTGAAAGATTCGAACATCAGTCACTTTTAGAAAACAGTCTTGTCGATTTTTCTCTTAAAATACGCCCGTAAGATTATACCACATGACAGAAAAAAATAAGTCCATTAGTAGGCCATCAAATTATTTTCAAAATAATGGTTTTGGCAACACCTTCCTTGTTGAATTTGACAATCGTAGTTAAAAAAAAAACTGTCAAATAATGTGTTAAATAGGTACAATGAAAACATTAATTACACAAAAATAGATAATTATGTTCTTCTGTTGAGTGGGAGTGGAAAAAGGATGTGAAAGAAGTAAAAAAAGCGCCAATCGTAACTTTTTTTGTTATACTATTTGCTATAAAATTTATTTCTTATTTCATGCATCTGACCTGACTTGACCTAACGGGACCTGACCTGTTCTGACTTTTCTATTGTCTCAAATAAACAAATTTTAAACATTTCTGTGAATCTACAAGAAAATGTCTTCAACTAATTTTCGAAAATAGTTGAAAAATTTTCGAAAATGTTAAAACTGCCAAAATCAGTTATATCTTATCAAATACTAGCCCCGCCCACCCACCCCTCTATTTTCTTGGAAGGTATGTGATTTGCCAAAGTCAGTCTTATCTTAGCAAGTACTAACTAGATAAAAAAAACTGAGCTTGGCAAATGATATACCCTCTAAAAAAAAAAGAGAGGGTGGTTGGGCGGGGCTTATACCTGCCAAGATTGATTTTGTTGCACTAATTTTCACACTATTTAAATATAGAATAAAATTAATAAACAGAACTATCTAGACACACAATACAAATAAAACATACTGAGTTTCTTAATAAAAAAATTAATTAATTAAAACAAATTAAACTCTGTTACTTGAAATAATCCAAATTGAGTGGTCTGACTTGACCTGACATGACTTGGCTTCTAACATAACTTGAACTGAAAATGCTTAATCTGACCTAATCTGATTTTACTTAATTTGACTTGGCCTAAATTGACCTGATTTGATTTGACATGACTTAATTAATTGGACAAACTTGAACTAAATGACCTGAGAAAACTGACGCAACCTGACTGGCCCCCAATAAAATTGTCTTGGCCTGAATTGACTTGAGTTGGTCTGACCTGACCTTAAACGACGTGACCTGACCCGACGTGACCTGACCCGACGTGACCTGACTTAACATGACCTGACATGACATGACCTGACATGACATGACCTGACATGACGTGATATGACCTGACTTAACATGACCTAATATGTCGTATTAGGGTTTTTTTTATCATGTACTTAGCATTAAGAGTTCTATATACCTAGTGATAGGTTTTAGCACTTTTCTTCTTAGATATGTTGGAGTAAATGTTTTTTTTTAATTTTTGAACCTCTGAAATTTAAATAATCAAGTTAGATAATAATCAGCAAAATTTTTAGAAATTAGTTTGCAGAATACAAAATAATTTTAGACGTGCATTAAGCTGCTTGAATTATTGTTTCAGTATTGAGATTTGACAGATATATGATTAAGCAATTCCATTATCAAGACAAAATGGAAAATATATTGCCAACCCAGACAAACAAATTTTTATAATCAACATCTGCAGTTAGGCAATGTTATCAAAATCATTGATTACATTTGAGTATTTAGCTATGATAAGAAACTTTGCTTTTAAAAAATCTGTAATTTGTGTAAATAGAGGTTTATATCTTTCACTCCGATTTATGATAAATATTGAAAAGAGAAAGGCAACTGTTAATGTAAATTGAGAGTTAGATAGAATTGATTTCAGTTTGCCATTGTTCTGTCTCAGCTTCACACTTATCCTGCATACAAACAGCGTAAAAGAATCATCGCCTTTGCGTAAGTTTGTGACATAAAATAACACTAAAAATTTTATTATTAACATACTCCGCAAATCGGCTTTTTACATCTAAAACTGTCATAGTGAAAAATTATAAATTAAATTTGTCTTAACAGTTGTATCACGTTTGCACAATGTTAAAAAAATATTTAGAGTTTAAAATTGAATTAAATAACCACCATGACACTTTTGATTTAATTTTACTAACTAATAATTATGTATAATAATTTTATCTCTTAAATAAGACTAACAATATTTTTTTAATTTCACCCGAACTTCCAGCATGTTCCGCCACTGACTTATTTTCATTTTCAGTTTTAATTTTTTCACTTGTAAAAACTAAAACGAAAATCGAAAAATACGAATAAATTAATAATAATAATAAAATAAAGAACAGTAATTTTCTGTATATTTTTACTCGAACTTGAGCAAACCATAGAAACAATCCAAATAATTCCCGCCTTCTTTTGAATTTAAACGTAAACACAATCACGCTTCACCGTCACGTGTAGTTTGACACTTCCTGGAATCCTGGAATGTTTGTTTGTAGACGATCAATTCCCTTGTTTTATCATTTTCCCATTAAATATATCACTGCACAAGTGAATTTAATTAAAACCGTAAGCATCTAGTAGATAAGATTGTAATAAATAGGTTTTTATATCACAGTTGAAACTAAACCAAATAGTTCTCCACGCAACCTCTGGTCGTCGAAAACATGGTGCAGGTACCCCGTGTAAAATTTAACAACGGCCGGGAAATTCCAATTTTTGGTCTAGGAACTTGGAAGGTATTCTGTAATAAATAGTACATAATAGAATGAATTTCTAACACACCCATAGTCAAAACCAGGAGAGGTCCGTCAAGCCGTTCAAGATGCCATCGACATTGGTTATCGCCACATTGACTGTGCCCATGTCTATGGCAACGAGAAAGAAGTCGGTGAAGCCCTGAAGGCTAAAATTGAAGAAGGAGTGGTGAAACGTGAAGATCTTTTCATCACAAGCAAGTTATGGAATACTTTCCATCGACCTGACTTGGTTGAAGGGGCTCTAAAGACAACGCTTGCAAATCTAGGGTTAAAATATCTAGATTTGTATCTAATCCATTGGCCCCTTGGCTATAAGGTATGGTAATGAATTTATTGTATGACTGTTATAAAGTATTTGCTAATGCATTAAATTAGCAGAGATAACATAACATAAGTAAAATTCCATTAGATTGACATTTGCATGAGAGATAACCTCAACAGGCGGTCGTTTCCAGTATTTTCTAGAAATTACCATTAAGTTTTTATTAATTGAGTATATTACGAGATTTTTCATTTTGATAATGAGTTAATGTTAGTTTTTGGTTATCCTCTTACATGATAAGTGAAGTATCAACTTAAAAAAAAATCCAATTATTTAATACTGACGTTAAAATTAATAAATATCTCAGCTTAAAAACCAAATCAAAATTATATTTTAATAGAAATGGTTATCTCAAGAGACGCGATTAAAATTCAATTTGATGACGTCATGAAATCACGTGAATATCACGTAATTTCTTTAATGTGTATTTACCGTCCATATCTAAATTTAATTACCGTGGCTAAATTAAGCTGTCAAATGTTTAAATAAAATAAAAAACGAGAATTTATTTTCGTTACAATGTTTATCAGGAAGAGGGCGAACTTTTCCCAACCGACGCCAACGGCAAAATACAATTCAGTGACGTCGATTATGTAAGCACATGGAAAGCCATGGAAGAAGTCGCCAAAAAAGGCCTAACAAAATCCATTGGCTTGTCGAATTTCAACAAACGCCAAATCGAAAAAATCTTAGCAATTGCAACTATTGAACCGGCGACGAATCAAGTGAGTTATCAATAGATAACGCTTTTGCAACATTTTAAAATAAAAATTGTAGGTCGAGTGTCATCCCTATCTCAATCAAAGTAGATTGATTGAGTTTTGTAGATCCAAGGGGATCACTGTAACGGGTTATAGCCCACTGGGCTCGCCTGACAGACCATGGGCAAAGCCCGACGACCCCCAACTGATGGACGACCCGAAACTGAAAGATCTCGCCGACAAGTACAAGAAAAGCCCAGCGCAAATTTTGTTGCGTTATCAAGTACAAAGGGGCGTCATCACCATTCCTAAATCAGTCACTAAGTCCAGAATTCAACAAAACTTTAACATTTTCGATTTTAAATTGTCGGCGGATGATATGGCGTATCTTGATACGTTTGACTGCAATGGAAGATTCTGTCCAATGACGGGGTATATTTATTTCTGTTTTTAATTGAAGTGTTTTATTGTGTTGTATTGCAGAGGTCTAGGACATCCCCACCATCCATTTGAACATGATGAGTACTAAACTGTTTACATTCCAAGTGAAAACCATTTAATGAGTTGTTGAAACACAATGTATTCGTTTTAATATTGTAAGATTATCGTACTTTATTAAATAACAGTATCATGTTTATGTTGACTTACCTAGTTGCATCTACCTGATAAATATTATTACAAAAAAGTTTGTGTTAATTGAGAGGTGATAACACTTCAGACTGGTTAAACACAATCACGATAAATATATTATTCGTTTTTATATTAATCACGGATAGGAGAAAATATTTTCATAGGTTGTTTTGATAAAAAGTAAATCCAGTTAAAAATCACTAATCTGAAAAGTTGGTTGCCTATATCAAATCACCAAGTGACATTGGTCACGTGATTTAGCAGCAACCAATAATCTTGCATGACTATGGCGCTAAATAGTAAAAAAGCGGTTAAAAATTAAGGTTATCTTAATTTTCAAGATTTTTTGCGGAAAGTTCATTTCTTTCACTCCACAAGCGACAACTGCACTAATTTGGTATTTAAATTCATCCGTTTCGGGTAAGTTTTGTGTCTAAATGTTCAAAAGTCGTAACGAGCGTTTTTAGGTTATGTCCGTTACAATGGACAAAAACTACGGATGCGATGAGTGCGACTTTAAAACAAATAAAAAGAGCTATTTGAAACAACACATGGTCAATAAACACACGGCTTTAGACGACGTAGTGTGGTACAGGTGCGAACAATGCTCGTACAAAGCCAAACAAAAATCCAACTTGAAAACACACCAAAAATCTCACGAAGAGGCTTTGTTTGAATGTGATGAGTGCTCGTACAAAGCCAAACATAAAGATCATTTGATGAAGCACATCCAGTCGAAACACACCGCAGACGAAGACATCAAATGGTTTGAGTGTGACGAGTGCCCTTATAAAGCGAAAGTCAAATATCACCTAACGCAACATATCCAAAGAAAGCATACAGATGCGCCGAAATTATTTGAATGTGAAGATTGTTCCTACGTTGCGAAACATAAAGAGTCGTTTTTTCAACACCGGATGAATGCTCATGAGTCACCAGAAGACAAAAAACAGTTTGAGTGCTCTGAGTGTGATTTTAAGACCACCTGGAAAATTAATTTGACGAGGCATATGGTGCTGCATTCAGATGAGTGGCACCAATGCGACGAGTGCTTTTTTAAATCTAAACATAAATATAATTTGACTCTACATGTGAAGTCCAAACATGCAAAAAAATTTACTTGTGAGCAGTGCTCATTTAAGACTTCTTTGAAAGCGAGTTTGAAGACTCATATTAGGAAAAATCATCCAGAATAGTATTTGTGTAAGGTAGTATTTAATTGAAACGTTTGTGTGATCAGACGTTTTTTTGGTAATTATATAATTATGTAAATTGTTGATTTAGTCAATTAAAATTCCACTCCCTCAAATGGATAATGTGGCAGCCCTTTCAGTTCTTCTGCATGGACCGCCCTTCCATTGCAGTTAAAACTATCAACAATCTTCATATCTTCATCACTCAATTTAAAGTCAAAAACATCTATGTTTTGTTCTATTCTTCCTGGGTTTGAAGATTTGGGAATGGGAATGACTCCTAGTTGTATTAAGTAGCGCAGGATCACTTGACAGGCGGTTTTTTCATATTTTTTCCCAATGTTTACCAGCTTGGGGTCATCCAGTTTTAGAACGGGATCGCCCGGTTTGGCCCATGGTCTTGCAGGCGACCCAAACGGGCTATACGCTGTTATCTTGACGTCACGATCCATGCAGAATTTAATTAATTTCCTCTGATTGAGATTTGGGGTCACTTCTATCTAGAACCAATCAAAATCAGACACAGTTTTGAGGAAACAACTAACTCACTTGATTCATTACAGGCTTTATGGTTGCATTCTGTAGGACTCTTTCAACCTGTTTACTGTTAAAATTAGACAAACCAATACTTTTAGCAATACCTTGTTGAACACACCCCTCCATTCCCTTCCAAGTATCCACATAATCATAGTCAATTCCAACTGCGCCTTTGAAAGGTAGATGGATGTCTAGTTCCCCGTGAATTTTTTCTGCCACAGGCCAGTGGATGAGATACAAATCAAGATAATCTAAACCAAAATTTTCGAGCGACTTTTTACAAGTGGGTACAACTTTTTCTCTTTCGTGGAATGTATTCCAGAGCTTGGTCACAATAAACAGTTCTTCTCTTTTTACTGTTCCGTCAGCGATTTTTTCTCTAATTCCTTCGCCGATTTCTTTTTCGTTGCCGTAAAGCATGGCGCAGTCAAAGTGACGATATCCGATGTCGATGGCATGTTTTACGGCCCGTTGGACTTCACCAGGGGCGGACTAGGAATATTCGTCAAAATGATGGAAAAAAAGTAAACAAAACTTACCAACCACGTGCCTAGGCCAAGTTGTGGGCATGTTAGCCCATTGTTGAGAGTTACCAAGGGGGCTTTTACCATTATGGACTCTGTGGTAGACGTTGTTTATTTACCTGTTCGGAGATCGCTCCTGTTGCTTACTATGTCGCAACACGATAATAAATCTAAAAATAAATCGTTTAAGCGGTGAAAAGTGGTATTATTGGTGTCAACATTGACTTGTAATCGCAGTGGTTGTGATAATCAATTGTTACTTAATCTTTTTATACTCAAGGCCAAGACTATATCTTTGGGCGGAGGCGATCATGTGATCACTGATCGTGCATCTAAATATGTATCATCATTCATGTTTTGACTATTAAATAACGTATTTGCATCGCTTAATTGCATGCAAAGTGCAGTTAGATAATTTTTATACTTGTGTATGCAGCACAGCTTTTGTCCAATCAGAACGCGACACTTTCTTTTCTCCACAGTTCCCCACTATCACCTCTAATAAAAATTGAACTCGTCATGCGTTACCCTGGTTATGTTTTGTTTACACGTCATCATTAATGTTAATAAAAATAATTCTTCCACCACTAAAATCTTGTGTATTGTTATACGTTTATACTAATACCTACTATAAATATATGTCTGTTTTAAAACATAACTTTTTTTAATGTAGATACAGTATAATGGGCGATAAATTACTTATTTCTGCCGGGCTACGTCACGATTATAGGTGGGGACGCGTGAATCGCCGACACTCAGTAGCGGGTGATCATCACTGAATTTAATCGTCACCTATTCCATATATACAATCATTGTTTAAGTATATTATAGTTGGACAACCCTTCACTCTGCACTTATACGAGGAGTTATCCATAAATCCATAATTATTAATTAACATTGTTCCGTAAGGAGTAATGTGTATAGACATATATGTACAAAATATGAAAATATACTTGACATAAAAAGTATGAAGCAACGCGTTGTAACGTGATACGAAAGAATTGTATTTAAATGAATTTGACGCCTATGTTATTAGACTATATCCGAAGACTGACAGAAACTTTCCCAGGGTTTTTAAATTGGTATAATTGTTTAGTTTTACAAGATTTAGTAAAATTTAGATTGGTGGTGTTACAAAAATATTAACACAAAATGAAAATACATATTCAAAGTAAATAACAGAATGATATAAACTTTCGACATTTTTCAATTTATAATGTTATTTAAATTTTAAAAAGTAGCATCGTCCTGATCTTGTGATTTATAAATAAGCTATTGAGATTTTTCGGCTTTTCGATTTCTTGATTTTTCAACTTTAAATGTCTCAATTTTTCAATATTTCAATTTTGAGCTTTTCCAATTTTTCCATTGTTCAAATTGTTTCTTGATTTTTTTATTTTTCGATTTCTCAATTTTTCGATGTTTCAATGATATGATTTCTCAATTTTTGTCCTCTTCAATTTTACGGTTTTTAAATATTTCGATTTTTCAATTTTTCAAAATTTCACGTTTCTAAATTTTCAATTTTTTAGGTTTTTTTTAGTATATTTTTTTTATTTTTCCATTTCTGGACTTCCTAAAATTTCTATTTTTCACTTCTTCAATTCTTCAATTTTTCGATTTTTTAAGCTTACGATTTTTTTCGATTTTTTCATTTTAATTTTCGATTTTCCAGTTTTTCTTTTTTAACATTTTTCGATTATTCAATTTTTTAATTTCTCAATTTATCGAATTCAGATGTTCCGTTGTTTTGATTGTTCAGTTTCTCAATTTATCAATTTTTCAATTTTTAACTTTCCTTTTCGGCTTCCGACTCCTCAATTTGTCGATCCTCCGACTTTTCGATGTCTCAGTTTTTGAATTTTACGATTTTTCGATTTTGCTTTTTTACATTTTCGATTTCTCAATTTTCCAATTTTTTAATTTCTCAATTTTTTTAATATTTCTTTCAGTTATGAGATTTTTCAATATTTCAATTTTTCGACTTTTCGATTTGTGAATTGATGGATTTTTTTGATTTCTCGATTTTTTACTTTTTGGATTTTCAATTTATTGTTAAACTTTAGATTTTTCAATTCATCGACTGTTTTATACTTCGATTTCTCAATTTTGCAACTTTTCGATGTTTTAATATTTCATTTTTTAAAATTTTAGGTTTTTCGATATCTCGAATTTTCAATTCTTCTGTATTTCAATTTTTCGATTTTTTCATTTTAATTTTCGATTTTCCAGTTTTTCTTTTTTAAAATCTTTCGATTATTCAATTTTTTAATTTCTCAATTTATCGAATTCAGATGTTTCGTTGTTTTGATTGTTCAGTTTCTCAATTTATCAATTTTTCGATTTTTAACTTTCCTTTTCGGCTTCCGATTTTTCGATTTCTGGATGTCTCAGTTTTTGAATTTTTCGATGTTTCGATTTTTAGATTTCTCGGTTTCTCTATTTTTTTCTTTTGAGCTTTTCAATTTCTGGATTTTCCAATTTTTTAAATTGAATTGGATTTCTCGATTCTTCAATTTTGCGATAATTTAATTGTTCAATGTTTTAAATTTTAGATTTTTCGATTTCTCGATTTTTTGACTTTTCAGTTCTTCGGTATTTAAATTTTTCAATTAAAAAATTTTGACGTTAAATTTTCAGTTTTCTGATTTCTCAGTTAATCTATTTTTGATTTTCCCACTTCTCAAAGTTTCGATTTTTCAGTTCTTCAATACTTCGATTTTTCGACTTCGCTTTATTGGTTTTTCGATTTCTCAATTTTTGGATATTTCTTTCAGTTTTGGTATTTTTCAATACTTCGATTCTTTGATTTTTCGATTTTTTATTTTTGGATTGTTAGTTTTTCGTTTTTTATACATTAGATTTTTCAATTTTTCGATTGTTTTATATTTCAATTTCTCAATTTTTCAACTTTTCCATATTTTAATTTTTAAATTTCTAGACTTTTCGGTTTCTCGAGTTTCCAGTTCTATATTTTAATTTTTCAAATTTCGGAATTTTTAAATTTTTTGAGATCTCGATTTATTGAGATTCGGATCTTTCGCTGTTTTGATTGTTCAATCTCTCGCTTTATCCATTTTTCCATCTTTAAGTTTTCGATTTTTCGATTTTGGCCTATTTCGGTTTTTCAATTTTTCGATTTTTCGACTTCTCGATTTTTCGACTCATCGATTTTTTGGTCTTTTGATTTTTCGATTTCTCGATGTCTCAATTTTTGGATTTTGCGATGTTTAGATTTTTCGATGTTAGTTTTTCGATTTTTTGCTTTTCGGTTTCTCGATTTTTCGATATTTCGATTTTTGATTTATCCGATTTTTCAATTTTCCAATTTTTTAAATTTTCGACTTCTCGATTCGTTGATTTTTCAGTTTTTGGATTTTTAAATTTTAGATTTCCGAATTTTTATTTTTTTGATTTTTTGACGTTTGGATTTCTCCATTTCTCAGTTTTAGGATATTTTAACTTTTCAATGTTTTAAATTTTAGATTTTTAGATTTTTCAGTTCTTCAATATTTTTTTATTTTTTAAATTTTGACGTTTCTGAATTTTCAGTTTTCGGATTTCTCAATTAATCTATTTTTTTTATATTTCCATTTCTCCACTTCCCAAAGTTTCGATTTTTCAGTTCTTCAATTTTTCGATTATTCAGGTTTTTGATTTTTCAGTTTTTCCATTTTTTAAGTTTGTGATTTTTCGACTCTGCTTTTTTGACTTTTCTGTTTCTCAATTTTTTAATTTCCTAATTTTTGAATATTTCGATCAATTTTGTGATTTTTCAGTTTTTCGATTTCTCATTTTTAACTTTTTAATTTTTAAAGTATTAGTTTTTTCGATTTTTTGAGTTTTCTATTCTAAAATAAAATAGCACTGAATTTCCATTTCGTACGAGCCGTACCGAGTTTGACCTTCCCATGGCCGACGGTCATCCGCTGTCTAATGATTTCACACCATGCTAATCAAGGTTTATAATATCACAATTAAATATTGGCGCCATTTGACTGGATACGATCTGTTTGTCCAATTTTATAGTTTAATAATTTAAATTTGTTAGTATTAGCAAAAAGCCATTTTAGCCACTAAAAGTCTTCATATTAAAGTTAATTAAGCCTAATTTGGTGGAAACACAAATGCTTTTACGACCCCCAAATGGACTGGTAACTAGTAAACAACTTTGCAAAAACAACTCCGTTGGAGGGGTCTTCTCTTATAAAAGACCAAAAGATCCATTAAAGGCCAGAGTCCCTAACCAGTTGCCAGTTCAGTGTGTGTTGCATTGTTACACAAGGGGTAAGTGTTGAGATCTCCAAAAATGTGCATGATCTCATAAGAAAAAAAAGATTAATTGCATTTAAATTAAGTATTGGTTAAACAGTTTTCTCGAATTTATCGCAAAGATTTAAAAATCTTCCAAGCCCGTCACAACAGTGTGGTGTCCCGATTTGAAAAATTCAAAAAGATTCCGATAACGTGTAAACACCCATGTTTTAGTGCTTTTCGGGGAATAGAGACAAAAATCACCCTTGGGTTAGTAGTTCTAGGAAGTTTTGTACGACGAGGCTCAGTTTTTGGTTAAAATTTTTGTTTTTAGTTTCACCAAAGGGCACAAAATGAATCGCATTCAACGCCACTGTCTCCCTCAACGTGTGTAATTGATGTAAGACCAGTTAATTATCCATTTTCTAGTCTAAAATGTTGTGAAACTTTGGCAAATTCGTCAACAATAATTTAAGAGAATTTAACTGCAATATTTCTAAACTTGGTATTCAAGCTAATCTTAAACATCGATCCATTTTGGAATTTTGAAATTTATTATCACTTAAATTAATATCAACCTGACTCGAAAACGGGAAGGGTTTAATATTTCCTTACAGGTGTAATAATTTCTTACAGCTTGAAGTTGAACATTTATTCTCGAATTATTAATTTCATTTTGACCGTATTTATTACGTGCCTGTTGTGTTTATTTCATATGTGTTTTGTTTTATGTGAATTGGGACTTCACTCAGTCCACGATGTGATTTTTGTGAACTCATTTTGGTTTAATCTTTAACTTGAATTTACCATAATTTAACATTATTTAAATTTTGTGTTCGAAATTCTTGATAGAGTGTAGTATAAGTAAATTTTGCTTGTTTCTTTTCTTGTATTTGTAATTTCATGTGGTTAGTGAAAAGAGACCTTCAATTTTTGATTTTGTGTTTGAAATCTTGGAGATCACCACTTTGCACTGAACGCATTCTGCTATAAAAACACAACGTAAAGTCCCTTTGTTCCATTTTATTGACATTCTCCAGTTAGGTTAATTTTGAATTTTTCGCGGGTTTTGTCATTTTGTGCTCATGTCTCATTTTGGCGGAATATTTGGATTGTTGCAACAGATTTTTATAATAAAAACAATAAAAATGTAAAAGTTGTGCAAAATTCCAGGGCAACCGGATTTGTATGTTTCTATGATAGATATTTAAATTGTAAAGTTTTTACCTTTTTCCAAAAATTTACACGCACAAGGATAAAAATACTATAAAATTAATAAGCCTCTGTGTAGCAGTTTTCAAAGAGTACTTACCTCATAAAATGACAAATAAACGAAAACGGGAGACCTATTTTTCAGATTCTAAGACCTATGAGACGTCGTTAAGTAGACCTGTGATAACCCAAACATCCCGCCTTAAAATGACATGTGACCAAAATTTGAAAACGCCCGCGAAAGTTTGAAAAAAATTGACCTTGACTATGATCGTCTAACAAAATGGAACCCTACATTGTGTTGACTTACTAATTAAGTTGTGCAGGTTTAAGACCTTTTGGTTCGCAGCTACAAAAAAAAACTTGCCCAACTTTGAATGAAATCAAATTAAACGTTCTAAATCAACGCAAATATATGAATATCACAAAAATAATAAAAACAAAGAAAAATTTGAATTAATCTGGATGCAAATGCACAAGTTATTACGGACGTGTGGTGGCAAATTTGAAATTATGGCAGTCAACAAGAGAACAAAATTTTAATAAGACTGTATGCAGAGGGCTCCTCGTGAATGCTTATGACTCCAAAAGTTGAGGAGGTACCCGGATTGCTTTAAGAGTGTGGCGATTGAACTATATCAATTTCATTCTAGAGCACAGTAAAATTACCCATAGGTGGCGTTGTAGCACGAACGGAGTTTGGGGCTCCTGGTTGTGGCTGTTCTCCCACCACGACGATGATCGATCTATCGGCAAGTACAGCCGCCCACCACCCCTCTATCTAATGAAGAAACGTGCAAAATTGAAGAGCTAACAAAATTACATGAAGTTAATATTTGCCACACTTTATCAACGATTCAAACAAAGAATTTACATTATGTTAAATTATGCCACACTTTATCAACGATTCAAACAAAGAATTTACATTATGTTAAATTATGCCTTGGTGCAAGTGATTGGTTACTTAAAACATTTAGCTTTGAGAGTTTTTATCGTGGACTGTCCACAGCTTCTCCCAAACAAACACATGATAAATAAACACAAAATGATGTCCGGATGATGCCTGCCTAAGGGGAAAAATGTAATCCCCACGTCCCTCAATCCACGATATTGTGAATTCTACCACACTTTCCACGGTCGTTTTCCCAGAGTAGGACACCGTTAGGTTGATTTAACTGCCGTAAATGAACTAAAGATTAAAGATTAAAACCTAAAACTGTGAATTTACAAACAATAAATCAAATTTACAAAGTTGGCGTCGATCGAAAATTCGCATATTTCGGTTTGGAAAAACACAGCAAGAATTAGTTACGCTTGTTGGTAAAACTGTGGCGTCGCAATCAGTATGATTAATTTTCGTTAAACAAACGCAAGCAAACAAGTGAACTTCACCATCAACCCACTTACCAGATACTACCCAGAAATTCCCCAGGAGAGCTACCAACTACCAAAAAAGAACTAAACTTGGACATGGTTGCTTATGTTTAACGATTTTCTTGATAATTTTTTTTCAAATTCAAATTATTCAAATGCTATTTCGCGTCGTTGTTTTTTTTAGCGCAAAATTTTAATTCAAATTTGGTCACCACAGACCCTATTACAATACTTCTCTAGCTGACGCTTGCGAAGAAAAAATCGTAAAATTGTTTATACAAAACTTGCCTAGGGGCGAATTTTTGAAAGGTTTATATTTAATACTATTTTAAGTTTTCAAAAATGAAATCACATATTAGAAATCAGTTTGAATATCACAAATTTAAAAACACAAAGAAAAAAGAGAAATCCGAATTAACCCAAATGGATGGTAATACTCAAGTTATCATGATGGTGTGGCTGGCAGTCGAGAAATCGGCAAACATGGTACGAAGGAAGGACGTTGGAAGGAGAGCGGAATTTACGTTTCTTGTCGTAGTCTGTTACCATTCCTTGATGATTTTATCTCTTGACAAGTATAAAATATAAAAAATATCTTTTTTGAATTTATAACGATAACTGAATGAGTATTTGAATGACAAGAAATAAAGCAAGCAACATTTAATTACACCACAGTTTCGAGAATTTCAAACAGCAAAGAATTTACATGGTACTATATTCAATAATTCAAGTTAATGATTAAATAAAAAATGTGTTCACTGATTACATCGTCATGGCCACATTACATAAAACAAAGCACATATGAAAACAAACACAACCGGCAAATATTAAATACAGACAAAATCAAATTCATGCGGATTTGTTTCGGCAATAAAATCTCCAAATTCAGCTTGTTATAAATTAAACCTCACATTTAATTATAATTAATTAATTTAACTGATGAAAATTTTCAAGGTCGTTTCTCTCAAAATGGACCGACGTTTAAGTTTAGTTTAAATGTTATAAATTAACTATATTATTATTAAATTTCGAATGAGACGTTATGAAGTGTAATAATCATTTAACTAAAAACTGGAAATATCGTGATTTAAAATAAGTTGAACTTGTAACTTGAATAAGTAAATTTCCGTCACGTTTTTATTACAGGACGCTTCGTACTATCGTACTCCAATAGAAACAATACTCCTAAATGAGGAAAATCCTTGCGCCGGGAATTGATTATTCGCTCTTTGAATTTTTTTAATGCAATTTTCGTGTATATTTGGTGGCCTATGGCCTACATAAAATGTCATTCGGATTTGAAAATATTTTTCCCGGATATGTCAATCAGAAAACAAAACACCAACTTGTCAATTGTCAAATTAATGTCAACCAGATTGTGAAAGAAACATTACTTTAAAATTGATCATTTTACTGCATCAGTGTTGGGTTTGGCGTTTTAAAAAGCGTAATTCCTATAGTTGGTCTCACTATTCACTCTATATTCATTAACCCAGACTTTACTGTATCATTTTAGTTGCATCCGAAAATTAATAAAACAGTGTTTAAAAATGTGGACTAAGTATATTAATCTATGTCAGTTGGAGAGATCACAATAGAACACAAACCAAATAAATACCATTAACAATCATTAGAAAAACATAGATAATATATAAAAAATGTGAGTAACAATTAACATCTGCTTATAAAGTTTAAAAATATATAAGTCGTGCATCTGCTGGACTTTGTTCAATTGGGCAGTAGGGACACTTCATCCTAAGAAACATAAAATTTAGCAAAAACATCACCACAACAAAACCAAACTCACTTATTTCCATTACACAACTTATTCAAAGCATCTCTAGAAATCACATGTCCACAAATAAGTCTCATCGGTGGATTATTCTGCGTCGACTGTTGCCTCAAAATCGGACACGCAAACATCGAATGATATCTTCCTTCATTACCTAAATCTATTTCAATCTAAAAATTCCAATCATTTACTGAGTTATAAAACTGAGTTTTGGACGTACCGGCAGCTCATCTTTTCCGTTCCAAATTCCCGTGACCTGCCTCTGCATCATAACTTGCTTTATATTAAGCAAAGCAGGTATAGCTGCACACCCGGCGTTAATACAAGTCCCTAGCGGACTATTTACGCTAATTCCCAATAACTGACAAGCATCATGTGTGAATAGCTCATAAATTTCTAACCACATTTCTGAATCTAATAAACAACTATAGGGGGAACTGCCTATGCCATTCGGCACGTATAGGAGCATCCCCATTAAGGTTTGTATGTCTGGAACAAAAATTTGTTTAAGTGACTGACGTCATCAATTTTTGGAGGGGATTCTTGAGATTAAAAAAAATATATGTTCTAAGCAAAACTAAGGAAAGTTATTTTTTACAACATCCTTCTACTTTTACGTCGATTTCTAATTATATTTATAATTAGACACGTAATTAGTTATGTACTGAATTAAAATAAAAGTGTGCAATTAACAAGTCTTGAATGAGGTCATTCACCTCTTGTACCTTCCTCAGGCGACTATTGTGTTTCACAACTAGTTATTAATTATAACAAAAAATAAACACGGTGATTCACACACATAATTTTTTTGCAACGAAATTTAACATGCTAAAAAAAGGAAACTATTCTACAAAATGATTTTGTGCGCAAGCGCATCAAACGTGCAATAAAAAATTTAAAATGGTTTTTATGAACTACTGTTGATTCATTTCTTACCTTTCTCATGCCTAAGTACAAATTTCCTAAAATGAATCCTAGCGTACGATATAGCGTCTGTTTGATGGGAAGCACCTTGTTTCAACAACTCTATAAATTTTAACCGATGTAGTTTAAATTCAAGCGACGAATTTTGCGCTTCGAGTGCATCGCGGTGAGCAGTGGCCCACGCCAAAGCAGGCTCCAAGTCTTTATTTTTAAGGCTGTCGAGGATGTGATTTAACTCAGTGAATGGTTCTTTGTTGTGTATTTCTGGTGCTATATCCGCATCGGTCACCAACGTGTCGGCCACATCTTGCATCCCTTGTCTGTACAAATGCTGGCAGATGACTTTATTGATTAAATTAATTTTTTCAGGCGATGCAAAAACCTCTTCGCGACTGGTAGCCGAGAAGTCTGCAACGAAGTTTCGATCTATGGCTTTGCCGACTTTGGAAACCGTGCTGTGGAGGTCTCGATGATCGGTGGTGAGTCTTGATACGGTCTCCTTTACTTTCCCCATGCATTGTTTTAGTATGTCTAGTTGAACGTTGGTCAGTGTGTGATCTTCCGGAGCTGAAATGTGATTGTCCCGGTAATTATCGTATAATTAGACCTCTTTGTTTGTGTTGGGGGGAATGACTGGGAAGTTTCGCGAAGCGACTTACCGTTTTCGAGTTCTGCTTTAATTCGCTCGATATGAGAAACGAGGTCGCTTAAAATCCGACCCGCGTTGCCATTAATGTCCCCGAATTTTGATAAAACTCTGTCTATTTCTTTTTCAACAGCCAAACAAGCATCCATACTTACTTGCGAACTATCACCGACTGTCACTGTCAACTGTCAGGAGCTGCGTATAAATCAAAATTCACTAGGTTTTCGCTAATGGTGTATTGTTGGTTGCGGCGTTTACACGTCTGTAACGACCTCCACATTCTACAAGTCGCCAAAATGCTCGTGATGATTCAGTGATAAACACTAAACACTATCTGTTTTGTGGCTGCAAAGGAAAGTTTGTGATTCATATCAGCAAACAGAGCGCGGAAAATCAATGTAACATTCAGTAGCCTGTAAGTTAATGAGGTTACTGGTTCGTTTAACGCCTTCCAACATTTTCTTTCGAAGACTATTTAGATCGCTGAGGATGGAGTCCGACAGCGAAGATGATATGCTGTATTATTCCCACCAAAAACTATCAAGCTTGATACGCGAAAAAGGAAACAAAAATGCAGCCATTAAGGAATATCTGGAGAACCTGAATTATCAACCCATCAAAGACTTCAATCAAGGTAACTGCGATTTTCTTTGTTTTTTTGTCGGGTGTCATAACCTCACTTTTTTGTTTGGTTTTTCGCAGGTTTGGAGTGGTTCAATGTTTCTGAGCCGCTGTCGTTCTCCAAACACCTGAAGGGGAAAATCGTCGTTTTGGATTTTTTTACTTACTGTTGCATTAACTGCATGCATATCATCCCTGATTTGCGGGAGATCGAAAAGGAGTTTTCGATTGAGGATGGCTTAGTTGTGGTATGTGGTACATGTACAAGTAATATTGGCACGTGATTCAAATTGTAATCACGTGCGATGCAATTACAAACAGAGTGTTTGCATGTATGAATTATAAATTATCATTATGTACTCATTAATACTGTCTTTGATAATTTAGGAGGCAATAGTTCTAACAAATCAGTTGCTTTATATGAACTGAAGTTAACAAAACCAAACTTTTTGTACGCTGTATAGTAAAAGTTGTTTCTGTAATGATAATGAATTGAATACTTCTTACTTTAAATTCTATGAACAAAGGTCAAAGTAACTGTAATTAGCAGTGGAAAATTAAAAAAACACATTATAATAATGAAGTTAATACTTCAACTGTGAACTATTATTTTCAAAAGTTACTTCAGAGGTTATTTTAATAATTTTTATCGAGTTTTTAGTGGTTTTCAACAACGTACCATCGACTTTATCCGTGATTTTTTATCACCCTGTATAACTATAAATGTGGTTTCCGGGGATTAACCCGGCGCACAACCAACGGAAATGTAATCATTGGTTGTGTAAACGCGTACCCACCCAGATTTACGCAATTGTTTCCATGTATTTTTTATTGGAAAATTGTATAAAACGGTTACAGCATATATAAAAAAAAACATCGTTTAGTCAGCCATGAAATTAATTAAAAAAAAAAAAAAACAACTGGTGTCAGTACTGTTGTCTTGAAGTTAGCGTCAGTTTGACATTTGTATTAAAAAAAAAAATGCTTGCAACGACATAAAAATGATGAATGGTCTTACTTATTCTCTAGGGCGATATCTGCAAAAACGAACAGCTATGACAGTGCAAATTTTGCGAACATTTTTTTAAATTAATTCCATGGCTGATTAGACGATGTTTTTTCGATCCTGTGGCATTTCTTAACCAGTTACTTTACAGTCGTGGTGAAGTTAGCCAATGGAAAAAATTAATTCGAAAATTTAACACCGGAGTCTAAAATTCTTTCAACAAGCGTCAAAAAACACATAATAGATTAAATTCGACTCTGCTAATTAATGACATTATTTTATTAAAATCTTTGGTAAATCTGTTAAAGCGTTGGGGAGAAAATCGATAAATTGTTAACCAAACTATCTAAAAAGTATTACGCTGGTGTTAAATAAGCATACCAGATGTGAGAATCATATTTAAAAAGCAATATTACGGATGCTCCTCCCACTCGCACTAGCTCCACCTTAATAAATCATTTTATTGGCCCGGAAAAAAGGGGTGGCGTTTAGTCTTTATTATTTATATGTAAACTCCGAGGGCAGTCGTTTTTCAAAAAAATTAAGATTTAATAAAATTAAAAAAAAAAGTATTATTTGTCAATATAAAACCGAACCCCCGTCTCTTATAATAAATACCAATAAAATTAGTAATTTAAATGGAATAGGGGTGAGTGGACGGCGTCACTTTTGACTTTGTAAAGTAGGTGGGTGGGGCCGAGTCATAAATAAGCAGTAGCCCCGCCCACCCGCCCTCTATTTTATTGGAGGGTATGTGATTTGCCAAAATCAGTCTTATCTTAGCAACTACTAGCCAGCCCGCGCTGTTTTCATTTTAACGATTTAATTTATGTTCAGTATAATATTCACTTTTCATCCTGAGCAGATGAAATGAATCGCTAAAAGGAGGCGGGATGGGTGGGCGGGGTTAATTATATGTTCTCCTGTATAGAGCGAATGGAAACTAATGGAACCTAGCTTGTTAAAAAAAAGAAGAAAAAGCGTTCATCGTAATTTTTTTGTTATACTATTTGCTATAAGATTTTATCTTACTTCAGAAGAGAATGGCTGATGGGCGGGGCTAAGAATAACTGTTTCTACATTAACTACACAGGGTGATTCAGAGCACTATTGCATAATTTTAATGGCGAATTACATACATGGCAAAAAATAAGTAAACAATTCTAGTAGTGCCATATCATTTCTCAAAAATAAAGAAGGCACACAATTTTTAAATTTGCCACGTCATTAAAACTGTTTTCAACCACTGTTAATTTTAGTAAGAAAAAAATAGCTTGACTGTTGCTTTATTTATTTCTTTGGTAACGTCCAAAAATTGAACGAAGTGTTACTAAGATAATTAATAACGGTGGAAAGTAACTTTGATTTATTTACGAAATTTGCCAAAACTTGCGTTGAGAGCAAAACACGGTGTTTTTAGAATCAGCACAACGAAACCTATATCTCAGATTTTTTTGGGACTTTTTTGGCAACTTTCAAAACGCAATTTTTTTTAAATCCCCCGCCAATTTTCGAAATTTAACGACGTACATTTTCTTATGGTTTTTGACCTCCAGAAGTTAGTACCGACCTCATATTTTTGATATCTACTATTTTTTCAGAATCGCCCACTGAAATATTGCAATTTTTTGATTAAAAAAATATATACAGGGTGAGTCACAAAATGCGCGTTCTTTGATATCTCATTAACTATGTATTAGAAATAGAAAAAAAGATCGAGGACCACAGTTGTACGGTTGTTTGAGGATTATACTTTAAACTTACTTTGAACTGTACAGAGTTCTATATCTCAGACTTTTTTGGCAACTTTTTTAAAAGCAAAATTTTTCAAATCCCGTGCCAATTTTCGGCAATTTTCGAAATTTGACGACATACATTTGCTTATGGCTTTTGACCTCCAGAAGTTAGTACCGACCTCATATATTCGATATCATCTACTATTTTTTCAAAATCGCCCACTGAAATATTGCAGTTTTTGGATTAAAAAAATATATATGCAGGGTGAGTCACTAAATGCGCGTTCCTTGATATCTCATTAATTATGTATTAGAAATAGAAAAAAAGGTCGAGGTCCACAGTTGTACGGTCTTTTGAGGACTATACTTTAAACTTATTTTGAACTATACAGTGTTCTGCTTGTAAGGCGTAATACACAACGTAGTTTTTTTTAAATGAAATACCTTATTTTTACATATTCTAATTGACCTTTCCAGCTTTTACAACCACATTTTATTTTTCTATTTTTCTTGTTGTGTTTCTTAAAACATTTTGTGATAAAGAAAAGTTCGCGCTTTGTTGTGGTATAAATGAGATTAAATTTTCATATACAGTGTTTATAAAAAAAATGTTTTAATTATTGAAATTTTCAAATATGTTTCGATATTTTAGTTTTTTTAATACAACACGCTACGTTTTATTACTGTATCTTATCCTATTTTTTGTTCTCTTTCTTTTTTACTGAGTATTTTCTTTATTTCACATTGATATTTACTGCAATTTTACTTTTTTAAAAGATCCATCGACATACTAGAAGAATGAGGACAGAAATAGCGTAAAATACAGTAATAAAATACAGGATCTTCCATTTCAAAAAAGTGAAATATCGATATTCGAAAATTGTAAAGTTTTAGATTTTTTTTATAAACACTACTGTTTATTAAAATTTGATTTAGTTGACACCACTACAAAGTGGGTACCTTTATTTATCCTTCCACAAAATATTATAAGACAGACTTTAAAAATAACCCTATTGCGATTTTTTGAGAACCCTTCCATTGCCAAAAAAGTTCAAGAAAATTAGAATAACGTTGTAACGTCGCATTGGAATTTCAAAAATAAACTGTGGTTGTAAAGCCAAAGAAAAAGTCATTCAAAATATGTAAAAATTCATAGGGGTTTCATTAAAAAAACTAAGTTGTGTGTTACGCCTTGAAAATAGAACACTCTGTATAGTTAAAAATAATTTTAGAGTATATTCATCAAAGAACCATACAACTTCGCTCTTTGACTTTTTTGTCTCTAATAAATAATTCATGATACATGGAGGACCCCTATATACAGGGTTAGTCACGAGAGAATTACTTCTGAAAATTATTTTTACGCAACCCAAAATACGAATACCATGTACCATTTGATACTAACTGAATTTAAAATGTAATGCTTAATCCATGATTGCTTTGAGTTTGGCAGTCTCATTTTGACAATTGTGGAAAAGGAGGTTACGCGAGTGTCCATGGTGGTACCGCAGCCAGTCGGAAATCTCCTCCGGCGCCGCTAATAAATTTGTCAGTGTGCCTCTTGATCTTTTGCAACCGATTAATCACGAGAAAATTATTTCTAAAAATTCCTTTTACGGCGTTTTATTCAAAGGTTACAACACAAACTCAAACAAGTAAGTAAATAATTTAACTACTAATCTGTTGAAAATGTTGGGCATTTTGTGGGAATGCTACGGCTTTTTTGTAAATGGATGGCCGAAGAAGTCCAGAGGTTGCAGATTTGCACTTCGAAGAGGCTCTAGGTGACGCAGAGATGGCGATTTAACACATACACATTAGCGGCGAACAACATTGGTAGAGCACTTACGGCTTCAGTATAGCCCAGATTGATCTGACTGTATGTCGTCGATCCAGTGGGGCTCTATAGGCAAGTCAACGATGAAAAAAAATGTTAAAAATTAATTAACGTCAAAGTGACACTGCCAAAGTCAAAGCAATCATGGATTAGGCATTTCATTTTAAATTTAGATAATATCAAGTGGTACAGGGTATTAGTATTTTGGGTTGCGTAAAAATAATTTTCAGAAGTAATTCTCTCGTGACTAACCCTGTATACAAGACAAAAATATAAAACTAAGCCCTCCGCTTTTGAATTTCATTGGCTTATTTTATTAGCTGTAAGATCAGGATTAAATTTTATTGTGCCAAATTCTACGTTTAAAAAAATTCAAAGTGCCCCGGCCACCCACCCGTTTTCTTGAGCACTCATTTTATTTTGTTCACACTTTTATTGGCTGACAGGTCGAGTTTATATTTATATATTGAAATCTAGAAAAAAATGTAAAACTAACCCCACCCATCTCTACTTTGAAATTTCATTGGCTTATGTTACTTACTGTGAAATAAAGATTGGATTTTATTTTTTCAAGAGGCCGAATCTGCGCCTAAAAAAATCACTGTGGCCACGCCCACCCACCACATTTATTTTGATCATTCATTTTATTCGACGAAAAGTGGATTTTAGGGTACAAATAGTGGAATCTCGACAAAAAATGTAAAACTAACCCCACCCATCTCCGCTTTTGAATTTCATTGGCTTATTTAATTTATTGTGGGATAAAAAAATTTGAAAGGGTATTTACTAAGATAAATCTGATAATATCTGCTGGTATAGAACGAAAGCGGAATTTTACTCCTGTATTTACATACAATAATCGTTAGCAAAATATTTGCCGGTTACCGCTTTCTCGACGGAACTAGTAAGTAAAAAGAGTAGCGAACGCCTATTGTTTAAACCCGCCTAGAAAAGTGGGTTCTTACGCTAAGGGAGTATAAAAACCTTTGTAGGCACAAAATTTTAAATGCAATACTCGACCACCTCTTTCTCAATCGTGCGGAATGGTTTATGGCAAAAAGGACCAAAGTCTTCAGTATAGAGACATTTTTCGGGTTTATACATTTTCAGTGTCGCTCTTTATTAAATTACCCATGAATCACCCAAACTTTCCTGCTAGAATCATTTCACACACCCATCTCTACTCGGAATTATAATCACTTATCAACTGTTGTTTACTCACACAGATAGGCGTCCATAGCGCAAAATTCGAAAATGAAAAGGCCTCAGCCAACATCCTTGCGGCTGTCCAAAGATACAACATCACGCACCCCGTAGTCAACGACTTCAATTCCCAAATGTGGAAAAACTGCGAAGTCAATTGCTGGCCAACACTCTTAATACTCGGTCCGAACGCCAACCCCATCGTCATGTTGATGGGTGAAGGCCACAAAGAGAACCTACGCTCTTACATCACAGCTTCTCTGGAATACTACAAGTCCAAAAAGCAAATTTCGGACCACCAGATACCGTTCAAATCCGCCTACCACTTACTCCCCGACTTAAAAGGACCATTATTGTTCCCCGGAAAAATCGCAAACTTCGTCAACGAAAACCACCAGGAAATCTTGGCTGTATCCGACACCGGAAACAATCGAATTATCATTCTAAAACCCGATGGGACCATTTTACACCAAGTGGGTAGCGGAAAAGTGGGTTTCCGCGATGGAAGTCTGTCAATTTGCGAATTTAATGCACCTCAAGGTGTGGCTTTTCAGAATGAAAGTACCATTTTTGTGGCCGATACGGAAAATCACGCAATTCGGAAAATTGACTTGAAGAATAGTATGGTTGAAACTGTGAGTGGTACAGGGTTTCAGGGTAATGATAGAGTTGGTGGGAAGCTTTGGAGGCAACAGGTAATCTCGTCTCCGTGGGATGTGTGTCTGTATCGGACACCCGATATGGATATGACGTTCTATCCGGATGGTAAACCTCCAATAAGGGACGTTTTGATTATTGCGATGGCGGGAACTCACCAAATTTGGGCACTTTTCTTGGAAGACACGGTTTGGTGGAAGTGTAAAAAGTATCCAGCTGGAACTTGCTTGGCTATCGCTGGGTCCGGACGGGAAGAAAATAGGAATAATGCGTATCCAAACTCGGCTGGATTTGCGCAACCGTCTGGACTGGCTTTATGCAACAAGAATAAGGAGGTTTATGTGGCAGACAGCGAGAGTTCGAGTGTGCGTCGCTTGTCGCTCGTCGATGGAAAAGTCACACCTGTGGTTGGAGGGGATAGGAACCCGAATGTAAGCACGCAAAATTGGTCTTTAACCAAATTAATTTGGTTTTTCTTTGCAGAACCTGTTCGCTTTTGGTGATAAAGATGGGTCGTTGTGTGAAGCCAAACTCCAACATCTCCTAGGTTTGGCTATGTCAAAAGACGAAGACACTCTGTTGGTCGCCGATACATACAACCACAAATTGAAGAAGGTCAATATTACTCAAAACAGTGTAACCACTATTGCAACTCCAGGGGGTGATACCACTGATGGTAAAACAGCCGGGTTTAAAGAACCCGCGGGTCTTTGTGTGTCTTCAGATGGTAAAAAAGTGTACTTGGTTGACACCAATAACCACTGCATTAAAACTCTAAAACTGGGTCCTGATTACTCGGTTAAATCGGTAACGGTTCTCAATTTAACCCTCCCAGAAACTACAACAAAAGTCGAAAATTCTGAACACCAAATATTGGACGGACGCAGTGTCACCATTAATAGTCACGGCGGAAAATTGATTCTCAAAATCGGGGTGGCTTTTGCTGACGGGTTAAAATTGACGGAAGAGGCGCCTCAAAGCTGGTCAGTCGAACTGCCAGGGGTCACGTGGTCGTGTGTGCCTGCCAGTGGTGACACTGTCAAAAATGTTGACGTGGTTGTAAGTGTCCCAAGTGGCACAGTTAATTCTAAAATTGATGTTGAATTTAATTTGGTGACTTGTACTGAGGAAACTTGTTTGCCTAAAAGCTTCATCGTTCGAGTTCCAGTCGTTCAGAAGAACACCGGTTCCATGAACGTGGAAAGCAATTTACGAGTAATTTTGGACCCCAATAATATTCAGATTGCTTAAAGTTTAAATGGAGTTTTTATACTTAGCACTTTTTACCCTGTAAAGATTTTTAAATAGTTGTGAATGTTGTAAATTTTGTTTACAGAATTTATTTATGTTTTAATAAAGGGTGCACAACGTCTAAGTTGCAACTTGTTAGCACTAACCACAGCAAGTGTAACGAGATTTATTTATTTATCCCCTCCAGAAAGTCGATGACGTCAGAAAAGAAATCGCCAGAAATAAATTGTAAAAAAAAAATGTATGCAGCGGTTTCATTAATTAAATTTTGTCTTAAAGCTGCTTCAACTCAATTTTTTAATCGCAGTTTTTTTTATAAAATGTTCGTTAGAATAAGTATAGTGGGGAAAATTTAAACTCGGGCAGAACTTTTTGACGACTGTAAATATATGACTTTATTATAGTATAAAGAAAACAGAATTTACCGTCAAATTTGTAATTTGATTGAATACAAAATCACCGCGGAGATGATGAAGGTAAAATGGGTAATAAAAGCCGCGTTTACCAAAATTGGTGAAAATATAACATATTAAAACAAAAAATCAAAATATAAGCCCGCCCACCCACCCTGTCTCTAATTGTGATGATTTTTTATTCGCCGTGAACCAGGGAGCGGAGCTTAACTGCAAAATACTTATTTCTTTACAAGATATTAAAATCACGTTTTTGAGTATCGTGTTGTTCAAAGAATACTACATATATTATTTAAAAAAACGGCAAAATATATATCCCTCCCACCAACCCCATCTCGATTGTGAAGATTTTTTTTTTAGAAACTTGAAACATGTTTAAAATGGTCATTTCTCGTAGAAAAATAAGGATTTTACAATTAAGCTCCGCCCCTCGGCTTACAACAAATAATAAAAAATTCATCAGAATCGAGGTAGGGTGGGTGGGCGGGGCTTATATTTTGATTTTTTTTTCTAAATATATGTAGCCATATTTTCATAACAAGAAATTGCAAAATCGATATTTCCTTATACAAAATTTTCATTTTAAATGTTTTAAGTTTCATGTTGTGAAAAGAAATCTACACATATTAGAACGAAAAGACAAAATGTAAGCCCGCCCACCCGCCCTATCGCAATTGTGATGAATTTTTTATTCGCCGTGAACCAAGGGGGCTTGTCTTAACTGCAAAATACTTGTTTCTTTACAAGACATTAAAATCACGTTTTTTTTTAGTATCTTGTTTAAAGAATACTACATATATTATTAAAAAAATGGCAAAATATATGCCATCTTTTCACAACAAGAAATTGCAAAATCGATATTTCCTTATACAAATTTTTCATTTTAAATGTTTTAAGTTTCATGTTGTAAAAAAAACGAAAAGACAAAATTTAAAACGTAGGGGGTGCAGACAAAGACTTCACTTAATTACAAGTACCTTTAATTCACTAACTAACAGACAACATCAGTTTTTTATTTTGCCAGGGCCTCCAATTCCGCAATTTCTCTTTCGGCAGCTCGTTTCTTCTCTTCAGCCACTTTCGCATCCCTAATCGCTTTCTGTTTGTCTTCGACTTCTCTGAAGGCGGCTTCCTTTCTGGATAACCTACCTTGGTGGAATGCCCCGTATACCACCCCCAGCGTGAGCAAACTCCATCTACCAAACTGGAAATGATAGGTTATGTGAGTTATGTAACTGTCATTTTTTGGCAAATTTTCTGAAAACATTACTACGCCAATAACATAAAAAATTGCGTACCTTAATCAGTGGGGAGACACGAACGGCAGCAGGCAAACCCGACATTATTACTTTTTAATTTTGTTGGAATCGAGTCTGGAACGAATGTCAATTTTGCAGTCGAGCTGTCAGCTGTCAGTGTCGAGAATGACAGTTGTCAATGTCAAACGAACTTTTAGCAACTAGACGAAAATAAAATGCAGTTTTAAACTGAAAATTTGTGTAAAAGTTGTAAAAATCAGTTGCAATGTAGTTTAAATCAGAAGTACCCCGTTTCGTTTATTTAAAGCTTTTTTTGTTGAACGCACAGCGCCGCCAACCTTTGGCGCCAGCTAGCTGCGGCACGAAAGTCCCCAAACCGATGACACTTCGCTACACTTACGCATGTTCGTAGCCCCTTCGCCCCTCCGTTTTCCAGTGTGTGTCTTGAGTGGCTAAAGATAAGAGTGTTGTACTACGTCCTAATAAATTTAAATGTTGTCAGGTTACTCATTCAGTATTTAATCGTACCATGTGCGGCGTCTGACTGACTTTTTGTAAATTCGGAAACAAGATTTACAATGGCGGGTATTTTGTCACTTGTTTGGTTTGTTGGTTCGGTGTTGATAACACCGTTTTTGATGATTTTGTTATGTATTGTTTTTCTCGCATCAATTGGAAAATCTTTGGGAGTAAGAAGACTGTACGTGAAGCTGCTTCTGATCATATTTGAGGTAAGTCCATTTTTAATAATTAATTTGTATCATCAGTCACTATCATTCATATGCGTCATAAAAATGTGGATGTGACGGTACATTATTTGGTGTGTTGAACTTTGTTCATTTGGATTTCCATTTCGGAAGTGAAATTTGTGGGTCGGAAAACATTAGGTGAAAGTTCTAGATGGGTGTAATGACTTTCGATCAAATTACACGTGAGGACTATGTTAAAAGCGAGTCAATTGCATAAGGGGCTATTTTTAAAGTTAGGTGGCGCCCTTTGGACCCTTTTTAATCAGTTTCACTTGTCACGTTTCCGTAAATATAGGGTTAGAGATAATTTAGTTCCATTTGCCTGCACAGAGACACCGCTAGCTTTTACATAGTAGACTGGAATTTGTGCTCCAGACCGTGGTTCAAATACCAACCCAAAAATATAAGTAGTTGTAATTAACTTTTACATCGAGTACTTGATAAAATTGTTAATAATAATAATATTTCATTTCTGGTTTTCTGGTAATTTTTAAACGTAACTGTAAATTTGCATAAAATGTAGGTATTCGTGTTCAAGGGGTTAGCAATAAATTAAATAAACTATATGTTGCCCAAAGAACAAACACGCCCACGTTTATTTAACGTTTCTAAAGTATAATTATACTGTAGGGAAATTCTCTGCACAAACATATAGCTTTATTGTACTAATTCATTTATTGCATGTAATAAATGAATAAAATAAACGAATTGCCTTGAAAATAGTCTTTCATTGAAGATTTCTTAAAAACTAAAAATGTACCTGGGTTGTGGAGGAATAAATAAACCCTTATCTTTAATTATTCAAGTGTGATACTGATAACAACTGGGTTTAATGAGGTGTTGAGCAAGCAACATGCAGAAATGACGTCAAGAGTGGCTTTAAATCTTCAAATTTTTAGTATCACGTGGAATTACATTATATCCAAACGAAATGTATCTATTTATAAATTTAATTATACGTTAAAACTTTATAAAAACTTTGCTAGTTTATTTATTTATAGTTAGACTTTTCGAATTAGAAAAATATAAGTAACTACAAAAAGTGACAAATGCCTTGGGTTTTCAAGTGGAAAATAAATTTTAAATCTGCCCTGCCTTTAAACTTATCGGTTGTCAGTATCTAATAGAGTTTACATTGCTGGTTCAATAATACTGAGATACCCGGCGTAGACTGTTCTGTGTGAGAAAATGTGTAACAAAATAACACGCTATGGATGAGAAAATATTTGTTTCTGTATTTTGTACCCCTTTTTTACAATTTTTGATAATGGAGAAATCTGGTAGAGACAAATGACAAAAAAATAGAACCGAAGTTTTCATTTGTTTATTAAAATTTTGATGCCTAAGTTTGATTGTTTTAATTAAACTGGATTATCTTTCAAAACGTGTATACATAATTGGGTTCCGGTTATGTTTAATTGATTGGATTACACATTTCCTTTGAAAATGTAGTACGACAAGTTTTTGGTCGTAAATTGAGCTGACATCGAAGAGAAAAAAAATTAACAGTTTGTGGAATAAAAAAAAGTGGGCTTAATTTTTAGAGCAAACCTTACTTTTTTCTGCGTTTTACACAAGTTTTATTGAAATATCAGTTATTTTTTAGTTTTGGTGGTAAAGTGCAGTTTTAAAAGCTATTTAGAATTATTTTTAGTATATACTTCAACTAAAATGACAGAAATGGTATCAGTAATGATTGCTTTTCCATTTACATAAATATGCAATTAAATTGAACCATCGTTCAGGTAAAGTCGCTTCATAATGTCCTACTAATAATACGTCCATTCCATTTCTATCTAGTTAATGTAGATGATTTAAAAAAATTAAAAGACAAAGTGAAAAAACATAATTTATCATCAATACAGAAATTCAATCAATAATACGAAGCAAACGTATGAAGAAATTGTTACATTGTATCGAAAATTCTGCATTGTGTCAAATTTTGTACGTTGTTAGGAACATGAAATACATGGCCAAACGTGTGCCCAAATTTGTCTCATCATCCCCACCAACAATGGTATGACGTCATCTCCAAATTTTTACAATAGTAAATGTTATGCAAAATTTTTATCAAATAATGTACTCATCCACTTGTGGTGTCGTTTATCGATAAATGTTATTTAAATGTTAAAAAGTAACATAGTCCTGAACGAGTGGTTTATGAATTCGTTTTGAATTTTTATCCTAGACATCGAGTTTTTGGAAAAAAAACCAAATTGAATAACAATTTTTCGATTTAAAAATGTTTCGAGTTTTTTGTTTTTGGCGTTTCTAAATTTTCGATTTTTCAATTTTTCGATTAATCGATTTTTTGATTTTTCGACTTTTCGATTGCTCAGCTGTTCGATTTTTTGACTTTCCGATTTTCCGGTTTCTTAATTTTTCGATGTTTCAGTATTAGGATTTTTCACTTTTTCAGTTTTTCGACTTCGATTTAGTATTTTTTCGAGTTTTTAAATTTTAGATTTTTCGAATTTACAATTTTTCGATTTTTTGATGGTTTGAGTTTTCGATTTTTGAATTTTTCGATTCTTTAGTTTTTCAGTGTGTATTTCAATTTTTCGAATTTTTAAATTTTAGGTTTTTCAGCTTTTTATGTTTCGGTTTCTAAATTTCCGGATATTTCAGTTTTATGATTTTTCAATTTTGGGATTTCTCAATTTTCGGCGTTTAAAAATTTTGTATTCTTCAATTTCTCGATTAATCGATTTTTTGATTTTGCGACTCTTCGATTTCTCAACTTTTCCATTTTTCGAATTTTCAGTTTTTCGATTTTTGATGTTTTGATTTCTGGATTGTTCAGTTTTTTTATTCTTTAGCGTTTCAATATGTATTTCAATTTTTCGAATCTAAATTTTAGATTTTTCCATTTCTCGATTATTCGGTTTTTTGATTTTGGGACTTTTCGATTTCTCCACTTTTCCATTTTTCGAATTTTCAAGTTTTCGATTTTGTGATGTTTTGATTTCTAAATTGTTCAATTTGTTGATTCTTTAGTTTTTCAATATGTATATCAATTTTTTGAATTTTTAACTTTTAGATTTTTCACCTTTTTGATGTTTAGATTTCTCAATTTTCGGATATTTTAGTTTTATGATTTTTCAATTTTTCGACTATTTAATTTTTGGTGCTTCTAAATTTTCAATTTTTCAATTTCTCGATTAATCGATTTCTTGATTTTGCGACTTCAAATTCTCAACTTTTCCATTTTTCGACTTTCCGATTTCCTGATTTCCTGATTTTTCGATTTCTCAATTTCTCAAGTTTTCGATATTTCAGTTTTAGGATTCTTAAATTTTTCGGTTTTTCGACTTTTGAATTTTTGGTAGTTCTAAATTTTCGATTTTTCAATTTCTCGATTAATCGATTTTTTGATTTTTCGGGTTTTCGATTTCTCAACTTTTCGATTTTTCGAATTTTCGATTTCCCGATTATCCGATTTCCCAATTTGCCAATTTCTCAACTTTTCGATGTTTCAGTTTTAGGATTTTTAAATTTTTCGGTTTTTCGACTTTTTGATATATAATTTTTCTTAAATTCTAGATTTTTCGAATATTCAATTTTTCGTTTTTTTGATGTTTCTCGATTTTTCAATTTTTTGTTCCTTTAGTTTTTCAATATGTATTTCAATTTTTGGTATTTTTAAATTTTAGGTTTTTCACTTTTTTGCTGTTTCGATTTCGGATATTTTAGTTTTATGGTTGTTGAACTTTTCGATTTTACAATTTTTGGTGTTTCTAAATTTTGATTTTTCAATTTCTCGATTAATCGATTTTTTTATTTTTCGACTTTCCGATTTCCAGATTTTTCGATTTCTCTATTTTTCGGTTCTTCAAATTTTTAATTTTTAATATTTTTTAAATTTTACAATTTTCAAATTTTCAATTTTTCAATTTTGTGATGTTTTGTTTGCTCAATTGTTCAATTTTTGATTCTTGGTTTTTCATATGTATTTCAATTTTCGAATATTTTAGTTTTATGATTTTTCAATTTTTGATGTTTCTAAATTTTCGCCTTTTCAATTTCTCGATTAATCGATTTTTTCATTTTTCGACTTTTCGATTTCTCAACTTTTCGATTTTTCGACTTTCCGATTTCCCGATTTTTCTATTTGTCTATTTGCCGTTTTCTCAAGTTTTCGATGTTTTAGTTCTGAGATTTTTAATTTTTCGGTTTTTCTATTTTTAATTTTTAATTTTTTCGATTTTTTGATATTTTGATTTCTTGATTTTTCAATTTTTTGATTCTTTAGTTTTTCAATTTGTATTTCAAATTTTCTAATTTTTATGTTTTAAGATTTTTCACTTTTTTGATGTTTCGATTTCTGAATTTTCGGATATTTTAGTTTTATGATGTTTCAATTTCTCGATCAATCCATTTTTTGATTTTTCGACTTTTCGATTTATCTTTTGGGATTTTTCAATTTTTCGGTTTTTCACCTTTTTAATTTGTAATTTTGTCGATTATTTTTAAATTTTAGATTTTTCGAATTTTCGATTTTTTGGTGTTTAATTTGTCGATTGTTGGATTTTTTGATTCATTAGTTTTTCAATATGTATTTAAATTTTTCGAATTTCTAATTTTAGATTTTTTACTTCTTTGATGTTTCGATTTCTCAATTTTCGGATAGTTTAATTTTATGATTTTTCAATTTTTCGGTTAATCGATTTTTTGGTTTTTCTACTTTTCGATTTCTTGATTTTTCGACTTTTCGATTTCTCAAGTTTTCGACTTTCCGATTTCCCGATTTTTCGAATACTCTATTTGCCGATTTTTCAAGTTTTTGAAATTTTTGAATTTTTGAATTTTTCGGTTTTTCGACGTTATAATTTTGGATTTTTTCGTATTTTAAATTTTAGATTTTTGAATTTTCAATTTTTTGATGTTTTGATTTCTCGATTGTTCAATTTTTCATTCTTCAGTTTTTCAAAATATATGTCAATTTTTCGAATTTTTAAATTTTAGGTTTTTCACTTTTTTGATGTTTCTATTTCTCAATTTTTGGTGTTTCTAAATTTTCGAGTTTTCAATTTCTCGGTCAATCAATTTTTTGATTTTGCGACTTTTAGAGTTCTCTATTTCTCTATTTGCCGATTTCTCAAGTTTTCGATGGGATTTTTCAATTTTTCGGTTTTTCGACTTTTGATTTTTTATTTTTTAGATTTTTTAAATTTTAGATTTTTCGAATATTCAATTTTTTCATTTTTTGTTTGGATTTCTCGATTTTTCGATTTTTCAATTCTTCAGTTTTTCAATATAATGTATTTTAATTTTTAAATTTTTAAATTTTGGATTTTTAATTTTTTTGATGTTTCGATTTTTCGATTTAGGGCTTTTTCAATTTTTCATTTTTTCGGTGTTTTCATTTTTCGGTTTTTTAAAATGTAGGAGTAGATTTTTTTATTTTGATGTTTCAACTTTTCAACTTTTCCGATTTCGATTTGTCGGTTTTTCAGTTTTTGAATTTTTAGAAATTTAAAATTTTTTTGATTTTTCTATTTATCAAAATTTCGATGTTTTAGTTTTTCGGATGTTCGATTTCTCGATATTTCAATTTTTCGAAAAGCATTTTTTCCCGTTGGTCATCAGCTTTAAAAGAGCGTATACAGAAAAATTGTAATGTTAAGGGGTGAAAAACTTCGTGGGTTTTAATGACGCGGTAATAGAACATTTTTCAAACTCAAAAGAAAGAAGAATTGAGCTGAAATTTAAGATGCTTTAAAAAATAAAATGTAGCTTTATAGAAGTTTTGCATTTTGATTTATGTATATATATAATTTGACAATTTTTTAACCTCACTCAAGTTTTCCCCATAGACTTCGAAAAGACATTACATCTAGCAATTTTGTGTGATAGTGTGAACTTTCTCTACGTGAAAAATAATATTCTTTTTTCTCTTTTTTCACCTCCATATAATATGCATTAGCAATAAAACAGGTTGGGAACTATTTATGGAATAAATTCATTAGAACCGAATTACAAGTGTACACAAACATTGAAACAGATCATCGAATATTCATAATTCACTTTTTTGGTTATTGTTGATTTAGTTGTGACGCAGTAATTTTGGCCAGTAGTGTCGCAGTATCCAGAAACTGTATTATTTCTTTTATTTTTGTCATTAGTAAATTTTCAATGACTCAGTATTCTGATGTACATATATAACCTTGGTCTAGTCTCGGGTTGGACATAGAACCGTGTCCATTTTTGGTACTAATGAACAATTTGAGTTTATTAAGGTCCTTTTTGATTTAAATCGACTGTGAAGGTTTTTGTAACTTATTGATTCGTAAACTATTCAATTTCCATATTTATAGCTATATTTGTAAATATGTGTATTATGTTATTAATTATCCTGGCTGCACACTGATCAATACTTATCTACTTATTAATTGTTTTCAGATAACATTGTGAGTAAAATGAACTGTTTAAAGCAACAAATGAGTTTTTTAGCTTTCGTGTGCTTAATAACATTTGAAAAAAATTAAAACATTTGAGTCATAAAATTACAAAACTGTTCGTAAATGTTAAATTAAACATAATCACGAAGTAGAATACGGACTAGAAAGAATCAATTATGGTAGCCATTAATAAGAGCATTTATCTCTAATTTTATACAATTTATTTGGTTTCTGTTCTTTTAGGAAATCCCAATAAACCATAAATTGTGCAATCTTAAAAGAAAATATACATTCAAATTTAAACCAAATTTTATTGGACGAACACCACAAGATTTATTACCATCTTTCAATTACATATTAAACGTGCTCACAATACCTTAAGAATGAATTATTTAATAACCTCTACATAACGAACAGTCGTTGAATTATTAATTTAATTTTTTTTAAGATGTTTCCAATACCGCAATCCATACTTTCCCGGACTGATTATGTTATTACAGCAAATATAAATACAACCAAACTGTGAATTATTTATTTCACTGACCTTCCAGAACGAACAATTTGTGCCCTCGAATTTTAACAATAAAAAATTAAACACTACATGTTGACTTGCTCATATTTATTAACTAGGGAATTGATTCGTACAAATCATGCAGATGTTTTATGAATAAAATTTCATCATAAAAAAATTAATCGGAGGGTCATCCAGCGACCTCTTTTCGAGCTCGGAAGGATATCCACTTCTAAATAAAACCGATAATGTGAGTCGCTGGTAACAAGCCACAACTTTAGGTATGTTTTAGCTTATCATAATTCATCGATTGGCCAGCAGCACGTGAAAAGCATGATTTTGTGCGAGAAGCGATACAGTTTATCGTTCGTGTTTTTTTCGCGATAAATTCGGCTCTCATGAAACACGTTATGAAACGCGCCTGGGTTATTTTATTTGAACCGTGGTAGATTTTAATATTTCGTTGCAAAATTGACTTTTGTTTTGATTTGAGATCAAATCGATGTGGTAATGGTTTGTTACTTGGATTTTTTGTTTGAATGATACGGGAGGGTGCAAATTATCTAGATTTAAATCATCGAACAGGTGCGGTGATCATGTGAAATTCGCATGAACAGCCTGCGCTGAAGCCCTACTGAATAATAAAGCGCTTTTATTCGGTGATTCTAATGTAATAGCTAGTGGAAACAGATTAAAATATTTAGTACACATTGACTACTGACCATAAACCCCAGATTGTGTTTGTGTTTGGTTTTACGTTGTTTGGGAATCATAATAACTGAATTAATTAAGTTTTACTTTATCGAAATTAAAAATAATATCTTGGGTAAATAATGGAACATTTGTAATTCTATTTATTATTTTTCTGTAAATTTTGTGGCTACAATCCAGTGCACTTGCACTCGAGGCTATTTTTAATCTTCGCAATATATTTATAAAAGTTGAAAAGGACATGGGCAGTTGCTCCTGTCGTTAAGTGTAGAGAATTTTTTTAGATAAGATTTTATTTTTGATAGGGTGATAATGATAGCACAACAAGTTTAATCTCCGGTCGGGAATTTTCCTTAATTGTTTAACACTGTTTCCTAAAAGACTTTGATACAGAGTTTTCTGAGATCATTGTGTTGAAATATAGAACAATAACGAAGTATTTTTATCTCAGATTTAATTTTAAAGTTTGCCTGTGCTCGTCTTTGTCGCCAAATTATGGGATTTTTGTCATGGGACATGGGTCGAGGACGTCATGAGTGTTTCTTTATATTGAAACTAATTGTACAAAGTACAAACAACAACATTTCGCGTTTTCGAGAATCTACTACTTAAGTTAAGTAGTAGCAACATTTCAAAAATAATTACGTACGATGTTTTTACCTATCCAGAGGTGAATTTCATTTTACAAGGTTATGTAGATGTTCGAGAACACAATAACTGGACTTTGATATCGTGTAATTTGTTTATTTTTCTTCGTGAATATTTTTCAAGGCGCTGCAATTTCTATTGTATGATCGATCATTTTTTTTTGTCTCGTAGTTTGGTCGTGCCAATATTGAAACCGCTCAAAAAGGGTCAAACGCTGAAGACACCAGCGAAGAAGACGAAGAACACATCGAAGAAATCTCGCCCCTTAACAGCAATGCCACAAATGATATAAAACACTTAAAAACGCCCAACGGTTTGAAGAAGCCAAACAATGGTTACGTGCCCAACGGAAATTCGGTCATTAGTAGAGATGATAAGCTAATTTTGGTACCCGAACCACCGTTTACCATGCACAAAACGGACGAAACGACCGATTTATCAGAAGCTAAGGTAATTATCGCAATGTTTGTATTTTAGTTTGTAATTTTCACGTACAGGATAAATGTAAGGACTACGATTTGTGCAACATTTTCGACTACTTGAAAGCGGGGATGGAATCAATCATCGAAGATCAAGTCACGTCGAGGTTCGAAGCCGAAGAACTGAAGAATTGGAATTTGCTGATTCGCACGAACAGGCGATACGAATTTATATCGTGGAAATTGACGGTGATGTGGGTGTGCGGTTTCTTCGTCAGATATTTCTTCTTGTTTCCTTTACGGGTGACCATCTGCTTTTTTGGGGTATGTCGTTTTAGTATCTTCAAATAGAAGTAGGTTGAGTTTGGTAAGGAAAACTCGTAAAATGGTGCTGTCGTATGACGTATGTTCGATAAATATGACTACGTTGCTTTGCATTAATGCGGCGTTAAATTAAAAAATGTTTAATGGCTTTGTCTCTTCTGTTCAAAGCTTAATTCGTGTTTTGTGCGCATTGATAACTGATTTCAGTGGCAATTTCTATTGTATTGTCACATAAAATTGTGATTTACCTTAAAGTGTTAAAATCAATTTGTTCACAATGCGGATTACCCATCATTGTCACGTTAATCTTAATAAAATCGTATGCAAATTTTGGATTCAGATGTTTATAATAGAAAAATAAGTGTGTTAGCGCGCCAAGGTCAACCGCATTAAAAAAAGCAACGTTTGTATAATTAGCTACGTATTCTTTTAGATTCATAAATTCGAAGCGGTAAAATGACAAATTCGAAAGGAACGCACTCACTAATGGATTATTAAAATATGTGAGTTATGTTCTTGTGAATCGCTGTAAGCACTTGATAAGTAAAAATGCGATAACAAAGATAAAACGATTTACATTGATGTTAAATGTAAATTTTTTACATTATTTTTTTTTTTATTGAAAGCATGTGACAATGTTGCATAATCGTATAATAACGAACGCGATCATATTTATAGTCCGACTTATTAATACTGTAAACATGCCAGCAAAATTCGGCTAATAAATAGTGTGTAAAATATGCACAAATAATTTGATCATTTTAGAACGGTATGGTAGTAAACTTGTCGTTTTGTTTCATTGAAGATCCACCAACACCGCACTTATTCGCTAAAATATACATACCTTATAACATCGTGCAATAAAGTCAAGGGACTCTGAGATTCTTTCAAATTACATACTTTGAAAACAAGACACATGAAGTTTTCGAGATTCTTTCAAACTACTTCAAAAACAAAACACAAAAGGTACCCGAGATTCTTTCAAATTACTTCAAAAATAAAACGAAAGGGGCCGCCGAGATTTTTTCAAATTACTTCAAGAATAAAACCCAAAGGAATCCTCGAGATTTTTTCAACCTACTTCAAAAACCAGGCAAGGGATCCCTAAGATTCCTTCAAACTACTTCAAAAACAAAACACCAAGCCCCTCCCCCCAGATTATTTTCAAATTACTTCAAAAACAAGACTCAAGGAGCCTTCACGATTCCTTCACATTCTCTGAAAAAGACACCAAGGGCCCCCCAAAATTCTTTCATATTCCTTAAAGAGAGTTACTTGAGGCCGTCCAGATTTTTTCAACCTCTTTTAAAAACATAATATCCAGAGTTTCAATTTTTTTTTTAAATTATGTTAAAAGCGTCATAATTGGCTCTAAGATACTTTCAAACTACTTCAAAAATAATAACCTAAGGAATCCTCGAGATTTTTTCAAATTACTTCAAAAACAAGACAAGGGCTCTCAAAGATTCTTTCAAACTACTTAAAAAATAAAACGAAAGGGGTCCCCGAGATTTTTTCAAACTACTTCAAGAATAAAACCCAAAGTAATCCTCGAGATTCTTTCAAATTACTTCAAAAACAAAACAAAAAGGGATTGCCGAGATCCATCAACGTACTTCAAAAACCAGGCAAGGGATCCGTAAGATTCTTTCGAACTACTTCAAAAATAAAACGAAAAGGGTCCCCGAGATTTTTGCAAACTACATACTTCACGAATAAAGGAATCCTCGAGATTCTTTCAAATTACTTCAAAAACAAAACAAAAAGGGATTACTAAGATCCTTCAACCTACTTCAAAAACAAAACACCAAGCCCCCCCCCATTCTTTTCAAATTACTTCAAAAACAAGACTCAAGGAGCCTCCAAGATTCCTTCACATTCTCTGAAAAAGACATCAAGGGCCCCCCAAAATTCTTTAATATTCCTTAAAGAAAGATACTTGAGGCCGTCCAGATTTTTTCAACCTCTTTTAAAAACATAATACCCAGAGCTTCAAAAATCTTCGTCATAATTGACCCTAAGATACTTTCAAACTACTTAAAAAATAAAAACCAAAGGAATCCTCGAGATTCTTTCAAATTACTTCAAAAACAAAACAAAAAGTGATTGGCGAGATCCTTCAACCTACTTCAAAAACCAAGCAAAGAATCCCTAAGATCCTTTCAAACTATTTAAAAAATAAACCAAACAAGTTCCCCGAGGTTCTCTCAAACAACTTCAAAAGTAAAACGAAAGGGGTCCCCGAGACTTTTTCAAATTACTTCAAAAATAAAGCCCAAAGGAAACTTCGGGATTCTTTCAAATTACTTCAAAAATAAAATAAAAAGGGATCGTCGAGATCCTTCAAACTGCTTCAAAAACCAGGCAAGGGATTCCTAAGATTCTTTCAAACTACATACCAAAAACAAAACACCAAGGGCCCCCCAAATTTTTTCAAATTACTTCAAAAACAATACTCAAGGAGCCTCCAAGATTCTTTTATATTCTCTGAAAGAAACACTAGATACCGCCAATATTTTTTCAACCTCTTTTAAAAACATAATATCCAGAGCTCCGAAAATCTTTTTAAATTATGTTAAAAGCGTCATAATTGACCCTAAGATTCGTTCAAACGCAAATAAAACATGAGCGATTCTTTCAAATTACTTCAAAAACATGACTCATGGAGCCTCCAAGATTCTTTCACATTCTCTGAAAAAGACACCAAGGGCTCCCCAAAATTCTTTAATAGTCCTAGAGGCCGCCAATATTTTTTCAACCTCTTTTCAAGTCATAATATCCAGAGCTCCGAAAATCTTTTCAAATTATGTTAAAAGCGTCATAATTGACCCTAAGATTCGTTCAAACTCCTTCAAAATGCGGACATAAGAGATCCTCGGATTCTTTCAAACTACTTCGCAAATAAAACGCAAGGTTTCTTCGAGATTCTTTCAAATTACTTCAAAACCATGACTCATGGAGCCTATTCCTAGAGGCCGCCAATATTTTTTTAAACCACTTCATAATATCCAGAGCTCCAAAAATCTTTTTAAATTATGTTAAAAGCGTCATAATTTGCCCTAAGATTCTTTCAAACTCCTTCAAAAAGCAGACATAAGGGATCTTGGAGATTCTTTCAAACTGCTTCGCAAATAAAACACAAGTTTTCCCAGAGATTCTTTCAAATTATTTCAAAAACAAAACAGAAAAGGATCGCCGAGATCCTTCAAATTACTTCAAAAACAAAACATAAGAGATTCCTGATATTCTCTCAAATCACTTCAAAAACAAGATTCAAGGAGCCTCTAAGATTCTTTCACATTCTTTGAAAAAGACCAAGGGCCCCCCAAAATTCTTTAATATCCCGTACAAAGCGACACTAGAGGCCGCCAAGATTATTTCAACCTCTTTCAAAAACATACAACCAGGATCTCCGAAGATCTTTTTAAATTGTGTCCAAAACATAAGTGGGCCAAGATTCTTTCACATTCTTTGAAAAAGAAAGGCATTAAGGGCCTCTAAAAACTCTTTTAAACGCTTTTTTTTAAGCAGAATATAAGAGGTCCCCAAGAATGTTTCATATTCTTAAAAAAAAAGGTACCAATTGCCCCAAAATTTCTTCCTAAAAAAACACGTTAGTTGCCCCTAAGAATTTCAGTCTTTAAAAAATAAAAGTACCAGGAACTCCCAAGATCTTTTCAAATTATTTCAAAAACAAAACGCAAATATTATTTTTTAAAGAATTAGTGACCCCAGATTATTTAACATTCTTAAAAAGAACTACGGGACCCCAAGGTTCTTCAACATTCTTTAAAAAAATATCTTGGGGTCTCTAAGACCCCTTCAGATTCTTTCAAAAACAAAATACATGGAACCCCCAAGATTCTTTTACATTCTTTTGAAAAAAACGATACCGAGTGTTCCGAACATTCTTTAACATTCCTAAAAAACTAGTGAGCCCTAAGACTTTCAAATTATTTCAAAATCCAAATACCAGGATCTTTTCAGGTTATTAAGAAAACACACACCATGGGCATCCAATATTCGTTCTGAAAAAAAGACAGTAGGGGCCAGCAAAAGGTTTTCAACCTCTCAAAAATAAAACACTTGGAGCTCCAAAGATCCCAAGATTTTTTCCCATTCTTTGAAAAAAAGACACTGGGGGCCCCTAAAATTCTGCGAAACTTTTCAAAAGTTAAACGTGAGGAGCCTCCAAGATCTTTTTAGATCGTTTCAAAAACAGAACATAAGTGGCCCCAAGATTCTTTCATATTCTTTGAGAAAAAGCCCCCAAGGGCCCTTAAAACTCTGTCAAACCAAACTTTCAAAAATAAAACTTTAGGAGCCTCCAAGTTCTTTTTAAATTATTTTACAAATAAAACAGGAGCTCCCAAATTTTTTCACATTTTTTTGAAAAAAAAAAAAATACATGAGGGGCCCCTAAAACTCAAAAACGTTTTCAAAAATGACACGCAATGAACCTCCAAGATCTTTTTAGATTAGATTGTTTCAGAAGCAAAACAGAACGTGTTCCTAAGATGCTTTCTCAATTTTAAAAAAGAGGCACCAAATGCCCCCAAAATCTTTAACGTTCCTAAAAAACACTAGTGGGCCCTTAAGATTTTCAAACTCTTTCGAAAACAAGACACCTGAATCTTTTTTATGTCTTTAAAATAAACATAAATGGTTCCAAGAGTCTTTCACATTATTAAAAAAAAAAATACTAGGGGCCCTTAAAATTCTTTGAAATTTTTCATAAAACGTTGGGAGCCTCCAAGATTCTTTCACATTCTCTGTTAAACTGTTTCAAAGTTATTTACACCGAACTTCCCTTGCTCCTGAAGCATAATCAATTAAAAAAGTCCAATTTTTTACATAAATTTTAAGATTTGACAGGTATCAAAGCAGGTTTCAACACAAAATTTTGTAACACCAACATTTTAGGAGGCACAAATATATTAATTTCGATCGGTACAATGTAATACTAATAGTAGTAATAACGGAACAGTGTTGTCAGAATTTCGGGAAAATGAGATAAGTCGTTTTTTGAAATATTAATAAAATTCGTCTGTCAACAATGAAGATGTGACAATTTAATCTACTTGTAGCGCACAAAATCAATTTCTAATTGATGCGAAAACATGTCGTTTTTGTGCGAATATATTAAATTTAAATAACTTGATGTGTTTGCGTGGGTCTAAAACCAAATTATAAAAAAATTGATGTTATTCACGAACTAAAAAATTCATGACGCAATAAACGTACTGACATTTTAATTATTTTATTATTATATATCCCGGCCGATGTCGAAATATAAAGCAGAAATATTTGTTCCGTCATGAATATCAGATTGGCAGGAACGCGCACTGCAATTAATTAGTATCGTATTGATTTTTTAATGTATCCCCTTTGATATTAAAAATTAAAAATACCCATCAAAATTTATATTAAAAAATTTCTCGGCAATAATCTTGACGTAACCAATTGACGTGCGTTAACTTTCATTGTAAATTATTAGCGCCAATAAATCATTCATTCGTTCAACTGTCGCAAATGCATCACGTAAATACATGATCAATATTGAGACAATGAAATTCGCTCTCTTAACCCAATTTACCATTGTTGTGCAATAAATTGCTGTAATGATGGCTCTTTAAAATACTTTTAACCGTTTTTGTTTCGGTCGTTTTAAGATGCATTTAACTCTATCGCTCTCACTTAAACTTTGTCTGAAGATAAAATTCCTTTTGAGCTTGTTTGTGCGGTTTCGTCAACAATCCTTCCATCGATTATTTTAAATACTTACAAATGCTGTCACTGAACTTTAAATTGTTTGCTTTTTACGCCAAGGGGATAATAAAGAGGTTTGGTCGGAAAAAAAAATTAAAATGAAAATTGTATAGACCGCAAACATTTGCGGTTTCTCAGTAGTTCAGAATTTTTATATAAGTGTAACTCCTGGTTTCGCTGTGCTAATAATAATTAACATTCCTTTGGTTATGGGATCAGGTTTTAAAAACAATTACCGGAAACGTTTTCGTTGTTTTAAGTGAAACGTGTGTTGGCGCGGTAATTAGGTGTAAAATAAAATATGTCTACCCAACCAAAAAATTGATGACGTCATAATAATATCAAAACTGAATTATAGAGAATGTAAAAAATAATTAAATACGATATTTAATTTTCGTGAAATTTTACTTACCTATAAAAAATATTATTTTTCAAATGGATTATCTAATATTACACATACGTTGTTTTCTGTACATATCTTTATCAGTTACCAACAACAGGCTCAAGGTTAGGAGTCCCTAGCACGTAAGTGGCTTGGTTAAACCAATTTGAGTTGTATTTGATAAATAAAACTATTTCAGTTTAAACTGTACATATTTTACCTTTATATTTACAATTCAATTCAGTGTTGAATAATTTTGTGTGATTGAAAACAAAATGAACTAAAGTTGACTGTGAAACCTACTCTGTGTGGATGGTACCACTGACGCATGTCATCATTTTGTCAGTTGTTCTGTCACCTGTCAATGTCGAAAATTAAGAACGTCTAGTGACACAAACCGAAAATCTTCATTGTAATACAAATATTATAAATTGATTTAAATGCATACTCGCTGGCTTCAATTTTTAAATGAAACAATGACTTTGTTTTGAATGGGTTTTATAAAACGAGTTTGAACATGTTCCCGTGGGTTTCTTTTATATAAGTCTTCATCCGTCATTGTGTATTTATTTATACATCCGTCGAATGGAAACTTTTGTTTGTTAAGCTATTTTTATGTTACTTATAATAAACAAAGGATATCAAAGTTTAATCGTACGTTCCTTTTTAATGTAACAATCATTATTATCATCGTGTTGTATCTGTTTACCAGACAATAAGCTTTCAGTGAAATTATTGCCGATTTCTGATAGGAATAAATATGAAAAAAAGGTTTATCATGAGGATTACGGGATTAAAAGAATTGCCCCAAAGTTCAGTCACTTTGATAAATATAAAATTTATTGTGATTTTTTTGTTGTAACAATTTACAGATTCTTTGAAACATTTTCAAAGTGAAAATAGTTGCACATTGAGATTTGCTTTGCAAAATTGTTAGTTGACGTCATCAAGTTTTTGGAGGGAATAACGGATTAAATGTTTTTGCAAAATTCTGATTTTTCCCAAAAAGCCTACGCGTAAAACTAATAAGACTGTCACTAGATAATTGTTTGTAACAAAACAAACTTAAGTTAAATAATTTGTAGACCTGTTTACTACAGGTAGTAAAAACGTGGTTTTAAAGCGGTAATAAATGGAAAATTGCTTGTTGTCGAAACATCTATAAAAAATTTGCCACTGGTACATACGACAGACAGCATTATTTTGCGAAACTTTTCCCTTTCACAAGAGGGAGTTCAATTCTTTTAGTGTGTTTAATTTAAAACTAATTCGATTGTGAAAGTAGGTTTATTTTACGTTCATACTCTAATTGCATAAAATAAAACAAATTTAAACTGGGACACCACAGCATTTATAATTTTGTGTGAATATGAACTCCCTCACTATTAGTTTTTGTAAACTTGTATAACCCATCGCGCCCTCGACAGATATGTTGGTTGGTGATTACCACAGGCCTGCTAGGAGGACTTCCCGACTGCCCCCCCAAGCGCTGGATTAACACAAAATCGTACCTAACGGCCTTTCGCATAATGAGTCGTTCTTTATCGGCCGAAATAATCATTCACAATAAAGAGCACAGACCTGCCAGGGGGTCGGTGTGCGTCGCGAACCACACGACGCCCTGCGACGTGCTTATTTTGTCCACAGATAACTGTTACTCTTTGGTGAGTTAGCGGAGCTGGAGAAACCTGGGATTTGTTTTAGTTGTAGAATGGCTTTGTGCTTTGTGTCCTGTCTTTAGAAAGTTCTGTGTGTGTTTTACAGGTATGGTGGTTGACTCTGTGTACGGCGTTAGTAGGGTATGTGAAGGAAGGCGATTTTAAGCAGAAATTAAATAAGTACGTGTCAGTTATGTGCTTTGGAATTTTATCGAACGCTATATCTTCAGTTATTACTTACCATAATGAAGAAAATAAGCCTAAGAGTGGGATCTGTGTCGCCAATCATACGTCGCCGATAGATGTACTTATTTTAATGTGCGATAATTGCTATTCTCTGGTAGGTTGCTTTTTTAATGCTTATAGGTGTGTGTGTTTTTTAAAGTTGATTCCTGTTAAAATTTGAACGAACGTCACTGGACAAATGAAATGTGGTTAAATTGAGTTGGTAAAACTGGAGCAGTTGGTACCACAAACGTCGTCATTGTTAAAGTTTTAAAATAATTTCTAGTAAAAGAATAAAAAAAAAACACTTGTGGAATCTGTTCTATTCTGGGAGAACATTATCTCTAGCAATTAACAGATAAACACTTTAAAAAATGTAGTTTTTTTATCACGGGGGCTTATTTAATTCGTCTGATAATAATCTATATACATATAACCTTTGTTACCCATGTATTTAATATTGCTGGTCGTATTTTTCCAAGGACGGTACATTAACATGGGGACATTTCATTCAATCATTGCATGTGTCAAATATTTTCTTTGTTCATTTGTTTGTCAAGTGGTAGCCGTTTCAAATTAACAGTGTTATCCCAACTCTGATGTAGAAGTTTAAGCTAAAATTATTGTGACGTTTGGTGTTCGGTATGGTTGTGAGTTACGAAATGGTTTTAGATTGGCCAAAGTCATGGAGGTTTTCTTGGAATCTTGCAACGAGCCTTAGCACGGGCGTCTCCTCATATCTGGTTTGAACGGTCGGAAGTACGAGATAGACATGCTGTTGCAAATAAGTAAGTTTTTCTCTATATTTTTCAGTTAGTCTACTTAAGTAATGATCGTAATGTTTGTATGCGCACCGAAAATTGTGTTTTGACAAGTTTTTTATCATAGTCGGATCCAAGATTGTTACGCATCTGTCGAAGTACAGTACATTTTTAGAACTATTATTTTTTGTAATTACTAGTCTAGCAACGTTTGAAGTTTAATGTTAATAGAAAATTATGTTGGCGACACCAACGCGTTCCTTATTCGTGCTAATCAGTTTGACATTTATCACATGAAGTGTCAACTGGAAATTTCATGGATTACTAAACGCCTTTTTTTAATAATGGGGACACTGAAAATTTTAGCGTTGTAAATTGATCTTCAAAAAGTCAAATCAAAATGAAATTTTTAAAAGTTTGGTGCAGGGATTTTTTTTTACCATTTTTTTCTTCGAGTTCTTTAAAGCCTGAGAACGTACCGTCGAGCTTATCCCTCATTTTTTATCACCCTGTATATACAAATCTAACAGTGTCAACTGTCAAAAATACAGCATTCGTGTCTTTTTTGCCCCTAGTTTTCTCAAGGTCTCCATTTTTTTTAATTTGCTGTTTAAACTAATAATGGATACTTAAGAAAAATTTGCACTGTAATGGGAAAATGCTAACATTTTTAATGGGAGCTTTATAAATCGACGTTATTTGTGGATATTACTGGTAATTTATGATTACTTTTGTAGGATTTATTTCCCTAGATTTAACGAGATATTTCCGTGATACCGTGTATTATCCATTCACGATCTTTTCGACGTAAAGGTGGCCATGAAAATCTGGTAACTTTGTTGGTAGTCTGTGCAGAATAATCAAAATTCCCCCAAGATCATTTAATAGATATTCTATTATTATTAATCATTATATTATTACATTGTCAACTGATCCAAAGAAATTTTGGAGCTTCATTCAACAAAAAAAGGGTCGCAGCCGAATTCCTGGAATTATGCACTACAAGGATACCACACTACAAACACCAACTGATATTGTTAATGGATTTAGTCACTTCTTTAAATCAGTCTATACGTCTGCTAGTACAATACCTCCTGATAATATTACAGCAGATATTGACCACGATATTACTGTGGCTATATCTAATATCACTAGTGATGAAGTTTATCAAGCACTTAAACGATCCAAGAACAGTTTTACATCTGGAGCAGATGGACTTCCAAGTTTTCTTTCAAGAGACTGTGCTACTGTACTGACTGAACCCTTAAGACATCTGTTTAATCTTATTATTAGTTGTGAACAATTGCCATCAATTTGGAAGAAATCAGTTATATGTCCTGTCCATAAAAAAGGAGCTCTATCAAAGATAGAAAATTACCGTCCGATAGCGCTACTCTGCAACTTCGTGAAAGTTTTCGAGTCTATCTTACATAATAGAATATATACAGCCATCAAACATACCATCTCACCTGAACAACATGGCTTCATGCAAAATCGGTCCGCCATAACAAATTTATTATGCATTACTCAAGACCTCGCTGAGACGATTGATGACAATGGGCAGATGGATGTGATATATACTGACATTCAGAAGGCGTTTGATACAATTAATCATCAGCTGCTCCTTAACAAAATGCGCCTCTTGGGTTTTTCTGATTCATTATTAGGCCTATTTCAATCATACTTAATGAATCGTCAGCATTGTGTGAGATATCGCAATTGTATATCTAACTCATTCGTTCCAACGTCTGGAGTGCCGCAGGGTTCGAATCTTGGCCCTTTGTTGTTTCTAATATTTATCAATGACCTGCCGGCAAATATTTCATGCAATAAACTGTTGTTTGCTGATGACTTAAAGTTGTATCATAGAATTTACTCTGTTAATGACTGCCTAGCTCTACAACAGAATGCAAATGTTCTTTCTTTCTGGTGTCGGACAAATCTACTACAACTAAGCGAACCCAAATGTTACGCTATGTCATATACTAAGCAGAAATGTCCTATTATTTACTCCTATAAAATTAATGATTACACTGTCAGTCGAACGGATTCCTTTAAGGACTTAGGTGTAACATTTGATAATCAACTTACATTTATACCACATGTGAATGATGTAGTTGAAAGATCACTGAAGACTTTAGGATTTATTCATCGCTCCTGTAAAGATTTCACCAAGATTCAACCATTAATAATGTTATTTGTTGCTCTTGTGCGCTCTAAATTAGAATATGGCGCTTTAATATGGTCACCTATATATAACATACATATCGATCACTTGGAATCAGTACAAAGACGCTTCCTAAAATTTATTTGCTATAAATTAGATGGAGTCTATCCTGAAAGGGGCATCAGTGAAATTAATTTGTTAACTAGATTCCTTCTTAATTCGCTACGAGTACGCAGGTTAACGCAGAGTATTACTTTTTTATTTAAGCTCCTACATAACAAAATCGACTGTACTCATATAATTACCAAAATTTGCTACACTGTTCCAAGAATTAATGCACGATATAAAATCTGTTTTCATCTGGATACTTGTAGAACTAATGCACTAGCTAGATCGCCTATTTTTGTCATGTGTAATACATTTAATGGTATATCTCATTTGTGTGATATTAATTTTGATAACGTTAATGTTATAAAACAAAAAATTTTTGAGGTTTATGGAATTTAATTATTTTATTTTATTTGTGTAAAAGGTAGGTTTTTAAAATGGGATTTAATATTAAGTTATTTTCTGTAATTGGGTGATAACACCTGTAGAAAATAAATAAATATCATTATCATTATTATCATTATTATTATATTAAGAGATATTATTAACTAACCTTGAAATTCCTCCAGGTTTTCATGTTAGGTTATGTTTCTTTAAATGTAACCTTTGGAAATGTGTGAGAATCAGCGACATAAAAATTGTTGACAAAGTAAAAACGTGACTAAATAACATTTTTTTTTGTTTAGAGGGTGGCCACGGGTCAGACTGTCAATTATGAACTGTCATACGTCATTTAACGTCAAGTAAACATCAACAAACGCGTAATTAGCATAAAAACATTAATAAAAACTAGTTCTTTTATTTATTAAAAACATGACAACTTTTCAGATTCCAGTATGTCATAATTGAATTGATGTGGACGCCAAAAGTCTAACAGGGCGTGCCACTCGCGATGGAAACATGTAAATTTCCCTAAATATTAAAACTCTATCATCACAAAGTATGAATTATTATTTTATCTATTAAAAGAATAACAAGTTGACTCGCAAAATGTAGTTTGTTACTCGTCCAGGAAGTTCTTTGACACCTCGGGTCGCCTCGGTCTTCAGAATTACTCGCGCTTTCAAAACTGCATTTTCCGGACTAGCGACACAAATAACAAATACTGTGATAACCCAAACATCCCGCCTTAAAATGACATGTGAAAAAAAAATTGAAAAGCCCGCGAAAAATAAAAAAATTTAGGTGTAATAATTTCTTACAACTTGAATTTGAACATTTATTCTCAAATAATTATTTTGAGTTTGACCGTATTTAATATGTGCATCTTCTGTTCATTTCATATGTGCTTTGTTTTATGTGAATTGGGAATTCATTCGGTTCACGATGGCATGCCGTTACGGTCGCAAACTCGTACTTCTATGCTAGGTCTGCATCCTTTTGTGCAGATGGCGTGACCGCCAGTTCGACAAGGAACCGCACACTCCGCTTCCGCCACGTGTTTCTGTGTTATTTACCTCAATTGCATTTAAATGTTCAATTTTTATAACTCTGATATAAAACTATAACTGAAGAAGTGTTTAAAAAAAAGCAATAAACAACATTAAAATTCGCCATACGCTCTCGTGAAATTTTAAACAGCAAAGAATTCTCATCTGAGATTAAGATTGGACGTCAGACAATTTATGTGATGGAAGCATTAATCAACAAAATATTAATTTACAAAATAAAAAACTAGCAAAGATTTATAAAAACAAAAGATCTGGTGTGAAATAAAACTTGTGCAGACAAAAATATTACGTTAGGAACTCCAGAGCATGAAAATTTACGTTCAATTTTAATTATACAACAAAGAAAATGATTGAATCTAAAATTATGAGATAGAAAAATAATTGCAAAGCTAACAAAATTATATACATGAGGTTAATATTTTATGTCCATTCGAGTTATTGGTTTATTTAAAAAAAAAAAAAAAACATAATAGACAATCTGGAGATCTAAAATGGCGTTGGACGAATGCGTTGTTAAAAAAAATGGGGTCAAAAATGTGTGATTCCATAAATGTGATAAATACTGTGGCGCTGTGCAAATAATGGTCTAAATCAAAGGAATAAAATACACGTCCCACATGACCCGCAGTGTTGTTAATTTGTTCAACAAGATTTTATAGTTCAAACATGTGCTCGGTTTGAAAATACTCTTTCAACATGGTCGCTGCCAGAACAAAGAATTTACCTGATGTTAAATGATGCCACACTTGATCGACAATTCAAACAAAGAATTTACATAATGTTAAATGATGCCTTGATCCAAGTGATTGGTTACTTAAAACAATTAGCTTTGAGAGTTTATACCGTGGACTGTCCCCAGCTTATCCCAAATAAAACACATGATAAATAAACACAAAATGCATCAGGCGTTGCGAGAAAAGCTCCTCGGTGATATAACTTTTCACGTTGCGAGAAAATGTCTCGGTGATGTGATGATTATATGAAGATAATAACTGCCTAATTCCCGTACTTCAGTTCACGATATTATGAATTCTACCGCACTTTCACGGTCCCTTTTCCAGAGTGGGGCAACGTTAGGTTGATTTAACTGCCATAAATGAACTATTGGCAATCTTATATGAGGAATTAAGAAGTGTTATAATGTAACACTTGAGTATAAGCATCCAGAAACCTTATTCATAATTTGGTAAACAAGAATGAAAACTCCTAGCAAGTGCTGTATCTAAATGATCTCAGTTAACGATTAAAATCCTAACATGAACTGTGAATTTACAAACAAAATAAATTTACACCACGTGTTAGTGTCGGTTGAAAATTCGCGTATTTCCGCTGGGAAAAAACCGCAAGAATTAGCTACGCGTATTGGGGAAACTGTGGCGTCGTCGCCGTTACGATTAATTTTCGTTAAACAAAGACTCTCCCTTTTTTATTAACTACCAAACCAACTAAACTTAACCTAGCTCACTCATCACGTGATTGCACTCACAACAAACAAACCAAAAGTGACACCTCTCGCCCCTTTAGTCACGAAATCAACTAAAGCTACCGACTACCCAAAAAGAACTAAACGTACACATGGTTGTCTATGTTTCTTGGTCGATTTTTTTTTTTTTTTTAATTCAAATTAGTCAAATTCGATTTCGCACCCCAATAGTCTTTCAAAAAATGTATCACGTGATTCAAAAATGGCCTCTAGTCGGCTATGAAATTTATTTTTATAATAACGAAGTTGGCAACCTTGTTTAGTTTCACAGTTGCGTTCAAATAAAGTGTCAAATAGTTGCAGTACCAACATGATTATTTTAAAAATAAATGTCATGGCCCACTACAGGACGTTTTTCGATAATACGGTAGGCATCTCATAAATGAAGTACATAGAAAACTTGCAAGCGAGTTCGAAGTAAATGTCAGGATAATTATGTCAGACTACTGACAGACAGAACACTACACCATCAAATCAGTTTGTCCAACATGAAGAAAAAATATCATTGCTTACTTTACATCCAAAAGATCGAGAATGGATAATATACCGTGATCAACAAATCGTGTTTCAGTTGTATCAACAAATTTTCCATGAAATTGGTAAAACTGCGACTCCCAGTTTCTTTTCTTTCTGGCGTCAAAATTGACATGGTTGACATTTGACTTCAATCAAATTTTTTTATTGATTATTGTTAAAATTTGACAGTCATAACCTAACTTTCTTAAATCTGTCAAAGTAACGTGGCGCGAAGCATTTGAATCAGGTTCGGCAATAGCAGTGCAAGAAAGTTTTCTCATAACTAATTATGGCGTGATAAGAAATAACTATGAGTCTGATGGCAGTACTTTTTAAATAAAAAGGTGAACTTTTCTTGCGTTTATGTTGGCGTAATGGAAGTAATTCTGTGACAGATATGTCAATAGTGACATGTGATATATTTAGGTTATGTTGTGGATACATTTTGCTAAATAAAAAATCTCAACAATCTGTTAATCTTGACAGCTGACGACAGGAACTTATAGAAAACGTCGTACCAATTTCAAATAAAAATCCAGGATTGCCAACTAACTCAATCATTTCTGATTAGGCGGTATATAATAATATGAATTATTTAAAGTTATGTTTAGAATCTAGATTTAATGAAGAAAAAAATCTTTTTGTTTTTTTACTTAAAGAACCACATACATCAACATTAATTCGTATAGAAAAATACCCTGTATACAGTGGCGATCTGAAAATCTTGGACAATGTCATTCCAGTGTCATAAAGTGTGAAGCACCTTTAAGCATTGTAACCTTATTTTTTAGTTCTGTCATTTTTGACACTGTGAGAATGCTGACAATTGATGCGATGTGACAGATCTTTTAAACGTCAAAGTGACTACGAATTTTCAAGATGACAGAAAAATGCTGGCCAAGTGTTCTGAATTGATTGGTATTTGTTATATTTCGTGGAAAAGTTGCGGTAAAAATTAATTTAATTTTTGTGTCAAGACGGTTGTAATGAATTTATTAACACAATTATTTGCATATACAAATCTAGTTACTTCATGTCAAAATTTGTCCAGGAAGTTTGATTTAGGGAAAATTAATAATTCACTAAATAATTTCATGCTAAAAAAAAATCATTTTGACACTTCAAATGCAAATGTCATTTAGGTATTCACATGAGGGGTGCCAATGTCTCAAATGTTACCTTTCACGGCCTATACCGGGGACAGTTGGTTTCAGTGACGCTGTCACCAAAAATATAAAATAATATAAATAATAAAAGACATGATAATCATTCGTAAATATCTTTGTTCATTAATTTTTAATACTCTGCGGATTTTTTCAAGTTCTGTGAAACGCTTTATTTCATAAGAAACGTGATACGATGTTTTCGCTAATCAATTTTGTATAATCATGTAGGTTAAAAGAGCATGTCTCCAATCCCAAGAACCCACCAATTCTGATATTTCCGGAAGGTACCTGCATTAACAATACGTCAGTGATGCAGTTCAAGAAAGGCAGCTTTGAAGTAGGGAGTGTAATTTATCCAGTAGCTATAAAATATGACCCTAGATTCGGCGATGCATTCTGGAACAGCAGTAAATATTCTATGATGCAATATCTATACATGATGATGACAAGCTGGGCTATTGTATGTGATGTTTGGTATTTACCGCCCATGCAGCAGAATGAGGGAGAAAGCGCAATTGATTTTGCGAACCGAGTCAAGAGTGTGATAGCGAAACAAGGCGGATTGGTCGATTTAGTTTGGTAAGATTTTTGAAAATTTGTCTGACAAAATATGCATTTTAACTTTTTTAATTACTCCAGGGATGGCCAGTTAAAGCGCACAAAACCAAAGAAAGAGTGGCGAGAACGACAGCAAGAAGAATTCAGCAAGCGACTTAAAGTAGAGTAGGTTTTTAAAATGCTTTTAAGGCGTGATCTTTATTTTAACGTTTTTTAATGCGAGTAAATTTAGTGTGATTTTTATGTTTGTTTTTTTACACAAAACATCTAGTCCTATAGATTTTCCTTGTGTTACAAAGTGATATAGTTAGATATTAGATCCATTTAGCGTTATTATGGATTGCAGTAATTAATTAGTGTATAACTGAAGCACACATTCTGGCCTAGATGTCGTTCAGTTCTGATGCTTGAAATACATTGTTATCGCTCATGTTGTTGGTGTCAAAATTGCATGTAACAATTTTGTTGAGAATTAATTATAATCTTTGACAATATAAAGAACTGAATATTATTTATTGGGTACAATTCTGCCATAGAAAAGCTTGTGTGTACCTCCTATTCTTGTGGTGAACTGATTTGATAATGCATTTATTTCTTATATTTTTATAAAATGGAAGACTTATCATTGAGAAGAGGCCTTTTTGTAACTGTATAAAATGTAAATTGGCTACGATTCTTTCAGTAGTATAAGTTCTAGTTATAGTATTTATTACAGTGTAAATATGATTGTATATTATAGTTTTGTATTATTCCTTGTAATAAATACATGTTTACCTACATTGACACTTATTTACATATCACTCTACCCCTTTTTTATCTGAAATTTGCACACTATTGAAAATTTCCAAAAGTTCATCAGTTGCTGTCTTTAGTTGAATTTTGGGTTTTGACAATTCTGTGTTAGGATATTCCGCCAGGTTTTCAGCGGGATCTTTAAATGTGTAAGGTGTCCAAGGCCCCTGGATTGACGGATGATCAGTATGCTGCAACTTTCTCAGTCTGAATCCAGTGGTGTTGCCCGACTGTGTCCTCAATAAATTCAACCACTTGCTTATATCTTGTTTGGAATAATTGTGACAGCTAACCCATTGCTTATCACCATTCACTGCAAAATTCTAAGTTGCAACATTGGTTAATACACAACAATGACATACAAAACTCTGCAGAAATCACAGGAGCACGATGTCTTCGTGGTTTTAGGTAAACCACAACCCCGGGGTTGTTTTTCGCAAAGTTTATTAATTCGGACTCGACAAATTCCCTAAAATAATCAAAATTTGAATAGTATGGGTTGCCAAATTGATATTGTTGAGAGTTCAGTACCTCATTCCTCTACTAGAACCATTATTTTTGCAGAACTTTAACACAACTCGCTGTAGCTGGCAAACGTATCTTCCAACTCCATTCTGGGAGGGAGTTCTTATAAATCCAGATTTAAGAAAAATGTGACTATTTGACATGTTTTCGAAAAACTTGTTTTCCGACAAGTAAGGTTAGGAAAAATTTGAGTTTTGGAGGTTATGTTTGATCACGTAACCGGGGAGGGGAAAATGTAGAGTGAGAAAAGTGAACATAGATGGCGCCACAAAAGAAAGCGAAAAATTAGGGTCACAGTTTAAAAAAAAAACCGTGTGGACCAGAAGTTTCTAACCAAAAATGCGATAGAATAATAAACATTTGCAGAAAATAACTTGACCACAAAGCAACGGAAATTTAAAAGAAACCTGTTCATAGATTATATTCACGTTTAGTTCATGGAGTGTATAATTGGTTGCATATCCGCATATTGACTTTTGGAAATACTTGGTATAAAAACGGAAAAATAATTAAAAACCAGACATTTAGTTTGATATGGGCATTCTAATATTTTCGTTCTGTTGCATTTATTTTCTCCATTCTTTCCCACAAATTTGTTTTTTAAATTATAGTCTGTAGTTTAATACTACTACCAGTTACTACAGCGAATGTTTAATCTTCCGCCTTTTCACCATTGAAATACCCTGTATGAATCTATTTCACATGAGTATTTTGGCAGCAGGAAACATTTGTGTTATTACCTGTCGAAAAATAAAATATTTTCGAAAGACGTGTTTAAATCGAGTTTTTTAATTTGTTTTTGGCGAAAATTATGTTCTGTTAATTAATAATGCTGCAGTATTTTAATTATGATTCGTTTAGTCTGCATCGATGAATAAAAACCTGCAAAAAATGTCTGATGATAAGATATCGGTGAAAATTTTTTTTTTGTTCATTTTTCGTGTTACGGGACGGAGTTCTGTCGCAGTAGGTTTTGACTTTGTTGAAGGCTACACGCTCTTGGTGTGTGAATTAATTTGTTAATTTAGTGGTTTAGTTTTGTTAAAAATAATTTCGTTTCGGGCTTAAAGTGGAAGGTGAGTGTTGTGATGTGCCCATGAGGAAAGAGTCCGCAAGAATCGGCGCGGAAGGAAAGGAAATCAGGATTTAAAGGGTAAGTGTTGCTACTGGTCTACCATTCAGTGTACTGTGTCCTATTTTTTCAGTTCTTTTATTCTAAATTGATATAAGAATATCGATGTTAAGGGAGAAGTGCAAATCGTTATTTAACGACTTAAGAAATATGTTTGTTTCAACAAGAATTCAAACGTTAATGTATCGTCAGATTTATTCTTTAAAACTTGCCTTTTCGACTGAAATAATTACACCCAATTATGATTTTTATCTTATTTCGGACCGTCTTTACGTTTTACGCATTTGCTTAGAATTTATATTGTTATTTCAAAACTTTGCCTGTTTGGTATTTTAAAATTTTTTTTGTTTTTTGTTACAGTGGGTTCGTAATGAAGAAGAGGGAATTCGCTTAATTGTAGCAGAAAAAGAAGCCTAAAGGTTAGAATTTTTTAAAATCTTCTATGAAGCTTAGATCATATAATAAATATAATTTATTTATAAATAATATATAAATTAAATTATAAATTTTTAAATATTTTTTATTTATTATATGATCTAAGCTATGAAGGCTATTTTGATCGATAATTTTGTCTTATTTTTGTTTTATCCAATTTTTTTGACGACTTTTTGTTACATATCTTGTAAGCATTTTATTTTATTTTAACCTCTATTTTTCGAAAGATATGGTTTTTGAAACTTTCGTCTTCTAAGTGATCTTTTTTTTTTTCATATATATCTTTGGCAACATTTTTTTTTTCTAGTACGTTGAATTTGTTTGAATATTTGTCCTCAGGTGTGAGGAAATTCCTGTCTAAATAACTTTATCCATATTAAAAATCTGTTTAAAAATCTTTTCCTCACTATGACGTTTGCGAAAAATTACACAAACAAAAAACAAATAAATAAAAAACAGAACAATTAAATAATATATGTTCATGAGCACACTTGATCACAAAATTTAAAGTGTTCAGTAATGAAGCTCGCTCTCTTTAGGGAATATTGGGGATTTTGCCATACCTTGCAACAATAATAATATATCTAAAATACTTATTAAAGGCAGACTAGATTGATAGTTTTTTTTCAGTATACCCATGCAAATTAATTGTCGACCTTTGGACCTGAACATGTACGCTGAACGGCATACAAATATACGTCTGCCCTTTTACCTGCCTTATCACTCTTATCAGTGACAGGGAAAATTGCCGCTTTCATATCTCTTTTTTACTCGCGGTGGGCTGAAAGAACGCGTCCACGGAATCGCGTGTCACTCAATCCATTTGTGACAAGTTTCACATTCGATTTTGTTAGGTTGCATAGCAACATAATCATACAAAAAACGTTCATAAAAAATGAGCTTTTGTTTCCGTCGAGAACTAAAAATACTTCCACAGGTATAGGGAACGCTTGGAAATTATAACACGGAAACTGCATTGTAGGTTAGTGTTAATTTTAATTGTGCTTAGTAGATGTCTCCGTAGGTTTAAAAAAGTATATTGCTTGGAATCGATAAATTCATTTAAAATATGTATTCAAAGACATTGAAAACAACACACGTATTGTTTGCTTTGTAATTTTCGGTATTAATAAAAAAGTCAATGAGATTGATTAATGTTAAGACAATATTAAAAAAAATTAATGAAACAAGAAACAGTAAACAAAATCTTTTATCAAACTTGGTGCATTACGAAAAAGTGAAATTAAATTCTGGAGATTTAAGTAGTGTGAAACTATCGATCAATTTTAAACAGTGGGTGATCATTTCACAATAGTTTGATATTCTTGTGCAACGACAAATTTTAACTAACTTTTGTGTTTACAGTAGACTTCAAAATGAATCTATTCAATCATTAAAACGTAAAATTGGTATTGCAATTAACAGTAACCTCAAAGTCATGGTAAATTATAAGAGAAAATTAGGATTTAACTGATCACGCTGCAGTGACTAGCATTTAAAGTTAATGCACACTTGACAGTTAAATAAATACTTATTCGTTGTCACTGTAAAACCTGTCACGTGACACGTCTGTCAACATTAACTGGTTTTATTTTCGACGCACGGTATATATTTTGACACACATTATTTATGAGTAAAATAATTCAAGCTTCAACCAGCCATACTGGACAGAATTTTAAATTATGACAATCCTCGTATAAAATATTTCCTTACCCCAGGGAGTGGACAGACCCATCTAATTTTTTAATTAGGTTATATTAAATTAATATTTTGATTGTGGTAGTGTAACTTGGGAGAAGGTGTCAACCTTCCATTCCATTTTAAATGAAAGTGATTTTCCAGGAAAAGGAATTAAAAATGTTTGATGATTACTCGTATTTTATAGGTAAATAAAAATTAAAACAAAAAACATGTTCTTGTCCGTTTTTATTGATTTGTGTTTTATTAGTGGGGTTAATGATAACAAAAATAATAAAATAAAATACCTAATCAATATTTGCATAAAATTTCTTCAATGAAAATTTTCATATTAAATTTTAGATGTCTGCTTCACCTATAAAACTAACTAGTGGCTTGCGTCGTAGTGATACCAACCTTATCACATCTTGCTTAACGCAGATTTTTGAAAATAATATAATTGTGATTATTAAATTATTAAAAACTTCTGATTTAAATCGTTTGTTTCTATTTCGACCTTTTCGAGGTCATTTTGGTTTAACAAAACTTTAAAATAGGCCGTTATACCCTAGATTAATGAGTAGAAAATACAATCAAAATTTGTTTTACTTATATGTAATTGTTTTCAAGACTTGAAGGTGACCAATACATGGGCGGTAACATCTCTTTGTATTTGCTAACTTAATTTGCGCGTAGGTAAACCATATATGTTTAATTGTTCTTTTGTTTTGGGAAGAACTGTGATAAAACTGAAATTATGGAATCGCTATTTACTATGGACAATTTCCAGTAAAATCAAGAAATACAAAAAAATGAACAGTTAAAAATAATGATACCATGTTACCTACCTATTATCAAAATCAATAGCTTTTCGTACAATGAACAATAGTTGAAAGAAAAGGATAGATAGATGACGACGTACTAAAGGAGTTTTTTTCGATCATATCTTATAAGTGGCACTATGAGAAATGTACACCTTTCAAATTTCGCGCGCTCCATTCCTTTAACTTTTGCGAGTTCAATCACTAGAGGTCGCAGAAGCGCGCGAAATTTGAAAGTTGCGAAGTTCCTGTTCTAGCTTGGGTTGCTACAACATTCTTATTCAAAGAAATCACAGAAAATTCACACTCAAATATAAATACACTAGTTTAAAAAGTCTTTACTGTTTATTTAAAAAGTAAAAGTTTGAGATGTTTGCGCCAGTCAGTTAATTTTATAATCCATTTCCAATGTATTTAGAACATTTTGAGTTTCTACTGGAAATTTTTCTTTCTTTCAAGAGATCTGTTTGACAAACGGTGGAATCTTGCTACTTAATTAATAATAACGAGATCAAAATAAACTTGAAACTTATGACTTACTTTATGAAAAATTCTGTTAATCCGAATTTTTATCACACTGAATTGTGGCTAAACCTACGTCTGTGTACAGCTGATAATACACAATTTTCCTAAAAATTTTGACGCAAATGACGTTTCTTTGTTGGTAAGTTTTGTCTTTTGTCTTTTATATTTTGAAAAAACTTGCTAGAAAAAACTTTAAAAGCAATATATTTTCATTTTTGTTGAATACAAAGAGTTATATTTTGTGGTGTCATAGCCAAAGCTGTGTTAAACTAGTTTAGTATTTTACATTGTAGGTTTAATTTCATGAATTTTGCTGCCTGTCATAAATATCAATCATAACCTAACTTTTTTAAGCATTTTTTTTGTACGATAAGTGGGAAAACCACAATTCAATTCGAATTTTACCTTGTTATATATCAGCTATGTCAATGAACGACAAATTCTTTTTTAAAATGTAGCAACAGATTTTCCAAAGCCACCATGATGTAGATAGGATCTTTTATAATCACCTTGTATATGTCCTTGTAATAAACCACTCTTAGCTGCCTATGTAATACTTATAATAACAGTATTGTAACCCCAAATTTTCGGGAAAATGGGGTAAGCTGTTCTTGAATTAATCAACAAA